TCTGCTTGTTGCGGCTAGTGGTGCAGCTGTGAACGATTCTTGCGACCTGCTATCAGTAGCATGAGTTCATGTGGTTGTTGTAACGACTGTTCTTGGGAGTGGTGAATAGTTTTGTATGAATAACACCAGTACATTGATGGCTATTCTACATGCGAGTCTGCCGACCAGTGCCCGACACAGTCTTACCCTCTTCGTGCTCTTCATCCTCCTCCTCCTACTACTACAGTACTACTATGACGACCACCACTACTGCTCCTCCTCCCCCTACTCCTACTCTCACTCCCACTGCCACTCCCCTTCTCACCCCCAGCCGCTGCCACCCCAACTACTCTCTTGTACTGCTACTACTCGAGGAGAACTATGACCCCCGCCCCCCCTTTTTCCGAGTAGGTCCCCAGCGTTGCCGTGGTCTACAAGGCACCCTGGACGTCCGCCCCACTGGAGCCAGCGGAGACGGAAAGGCCAGGTCCTGCCACAGCCGCCCTTGCTCTGGGCCATGGGTAAAAACAGATCATACCACATCAAATAGTAGAGTGAGTAGAGTACAGTATAATATCATAATATACTAGTTAATTAATACAAGCTTTTTTGCTGTCGTCATTGCATTGCCCACATAAGCTTCATGGCTTGGCTTTGGGACATCCAAGTGAGCCCTCTCTATCTCAGAGCGCCTTCGCTTCTTGACACCGTGCGTTTTGCAAACCGGCCGGCTCGACCCAGGCTTGTGAAGCCGCCGTAGGATTTGCGCCAGAATTCTGTACAGTGCCTTCCAGGTCGCAGTCTTCATACTCTAGGCTTAGTCATCATGTCAGGGAGCCCTGGGCCATTACAGGTGCGTCTAGCCGTCTAGCCACCTCAACAAGTTGGCTTGAGTCTTATCTCGACATGCTGCCACTTCATGCAGGCGTTGAAGAAGTTGAACCAGCTTCAGGCAACAACGCCCTTCACATCCCTCAAACCGAAACCTCAACCAGAGTCTGCATCCCCTGACACACTTTGTCGCGCCGCGCCTGTAGCATGGGAATGCTGTCTCCACTTTTCAAAGGCAGGCGCATGTCTGAGCCGCGGAGTCGAACCGAGACGCCCCGCCTGCACTTTCTGGCTTCAGAGTTCAAAGCCTTAATTATGCACAGTGTAATTGAACCACTCGGCTAGCAAGCCAGCGGACTCTCGAGAACAAGAAAGCACAACGTGACACGGGCGGCCAGTGTGTGCGAGGGAAAGGGCAAAACCGACCCAAAGAAAGAGCAGGCTCGTCCACGTCAAGTGCTGACGCATGCGTACTTATACTACTACTTACTATACTATTGACTACTTATACTACTACTTCTACTACTACGTCTACTAATACTTTTACTTCTACTGCTACTCATACCCAGACCGTACCCACACACACACACACCTCATACTCACACTCCTACTCATACATAAACTTTCTATTGACAGCGGCACGGCGAATGCGACTGCGACGACAACGACTGCTACTGCTGCTGGTACTGCTATTACGGTCACTGCTGCTACACTAGAACTGCTAATGCTGCTACTCCTAATCTTGCACCCTGATTCCTACTCCTGCTCTTACTGGCACAGCTACAAAGCCGGCTGCAACCACAGCTACAACTGATTACTTCTGCGACAACATTCTTAGCCAGAGTTTCTCTTGTTGCTTCTGCTCGCTTGCGACTACCAACTGTGGCCATGTAAAGAAAATCACTGTCTGTAGATTGGGGCCTGCTGGCCATGTTCAGCTTCACGAGCTGGTGCCAGTCGACCAACAGCAGCAAACTGCGTGCCTGCGCTTCGTTTTTGGGCTTTTATGCACAGGTCCCTCAAAAGATCTTGCTATCTAGCAGGCACATCCCTTGCGAAGTTGCCCGCCCAGGATGAGCCTCTGAAGCTACAAATTCTCAACGACTTCGAGCACATGACACACGACACACACACACACACACACACACCAAAAAAAAAGGCACAACATGCACAAGACAAGCATGCAGGTGTGCACACATTGCTGATTCCGCCTGTGGCGCTGCGGTGTGCAGGCTCTCATGGCAGTTCCTTGGTAGTCTACGAGATCTTTCGAAATCATGACGGCCCACTCTCGCCATTAAAGCGTTTCACGTCAGAAAATGCCTCGTGCTGTCGCTTCTGCTCAATCTCGTAATCTGCACACTCAGTCCTGTGCTCGGCGGGGCGTATATACCGCAGTGACATGGCATGCTGGCGCCAGAGAGCTGTATCCTGACAACAGGCTTCACTTAAACTTCATCCGCACCAGCTGAACATGCTCTGTCACAGGAAAGCTACTACGAGTGAAGGCGGCAGGTCCTGGCACGCTCTTCTAAGAGTGTGGCATGTTTGCGAATCGCATAGCGACCTCGGCGGCCGAGCCCAGAGATGTGGTCTGCTGGGCTGCAGGACTTTTGGACTATACCGCATGAGAGTCATTAGAGCTTCTTACGGCGAATTTGGCCTTCTTTGAAGGTTCCAGGCCGGCTTTGTTCGCGCTTCGGCTTTCGGGCTGGGCTGCTTCAAGACATCTGCAACCCCGTGAGCCTTCCAAACCATGGTCTTTGGGCGGCTTCCTGCAATTTGAGAGCCACGGGCCCTGATTTCTCTGCAATGTACCGAGAACTTGGCTCAGCCACCGTGCCAAAGGACGCGATGCAGTTCCAGACGGGCCTCGTGCGCTGTAGGAGGCACGCAGCTACAGTTCAATGGATTGTCTTAGTCTCGCCACATTAGAAATCTGACACCCGCTGAGGATCTGGCAGCAGATTTTCAAATCCATGAGAGTTCTTCTCTGCGCCCATCTTTGACGACGCCATCGTGCCTCGGAGCAGCTGCAAGCACGTGTGCACCAAGGATGCCCGGCAACTATCAACACACGCATGCACCGGCCGCTCATAAGCCCCGGGCATTTGAAATGGGCGTCTCACGTCCCGTTAAAAAGTTTTGGAAAAAAGTTCCGCCGACGCTGGGCTTCTTGATCGCCGGTACGAGCTGTGGCTTGGTTCGGGCAGGGTCCGGCAGGGTGCTGTAGGGCAAGTGCCTGGACGAGCTACTCCTTGCTTTTGGTCCGTAACCCACAGGGAAGGGAGGCGATCTCATGGGATAATCGACGCTTGGTGTTGCAAAAGCACGCTGAATGCTGGGCCTGACGTGCTTTTCATTTATAGCTGGCTGCCCCCCTGCAAGCTTATAAGCCTGGAAGCACATGCGAGGCTGTGTTGATCGAACGCATGCTGTAGCCTGTCACAAAGCAGTGGCAGATTCCACGACAAAGTTGCCTCCCGCCTAATGAGCTTTTTGCTTGTGGTGGCCCCAGCTGCGGACTGTGGCTTCTGCTCTCAGCACCATCCATGACCTGCAGCTACAGAAGCAGGAAAGCAAGCACCTAGCCAATGCACTTCCACCCTTAGGCCTCTGGTGGCCCCAGGGCTGCGCGGAGGCTGCCAACACCTGGACGACGCTGCCAGCTGGGCTCCTGAAAGGGACTGGAACCTACAAGCTAAGCATGTAGTTGCACGAATTTCATGGGATCTCTTGCAAGACCCTGGCAGCGACAGTGTAACAGCCAAACTTTCGCACGCCTGCAAAGCGAAAAAAACAGACCTGGATCTATTAGCGGATAAGCAAAGCGTACACAGGGAAGACTCTTCCTTTGAGAAACACTGTCCCCAAGCCAAGCAAAATTCTGCATTCGTCTGCAGACGGTTTTTGAGTTTGCAATGGTTCGGTGCATTAGATAAGTTTCTCAAGTCCATGAGTTCATTCGTGACCATTCCTGTAAAGGCCATCGCCGCCATGCCAACAACGACAACAACAGCAGCGTAGTGGGAGTTGAACATAGTAGAAGTGGGAGTAGTCGGAGCAGGAGCAGCAGGAGCACTAGGAATAGCGGGAGCAGTAGGACCAGCCGTGTAGTAGGAGTAGGAGGAAAAGCAGGAGTCGTAGTAGCAGTAGTAGTAGTCGTCGTCGTCGCAATAGAAGCAGCAGCTACTCAGTGGCAGTAGCAGTAGCGATAGCGGTATCAGTAGCAGTAGCAGCAGGAGCAGCAGAAGTGGCAGTAGTTGTCGTCGTCTGAACTGATGTGATGTGAAGTGCGCAGTGACCGGACATGCTACCATGGCGCAAGCTTTCTGAGGCATGACTTTATTTTGGTTGTTGCGCAAGCGGCAAGTCTGCCATAAAGTTGAATTCGGTGCTCAGGCTTGTTGATGGACTGAAAAACGGGTGCTCCTCATGGCACCGCCTATGCTTTACAATAAACACATCCTGTGTTTGCCATGCTCCAGCATCGCAGCTGTAAACAGCGACTCAATATCCAGATGTCGTCCTATCAAATCGATCTGAAGCAGATGTGCTTTGTTATCTAAGTCTTGCATCCTCGCTGGCAAGGCTGAGTGCTCATCCGACTGTGAAGGTCGTGCCATTTCTTTTGAAGGCAGACCAGCTGATGAGACACCCAGCCAGGAGTCGCAGGATTCCTTTCACCCCGCTGATCTCGGACCTGGTGAGCCTGTGTCCTATAGACCTCGTGATGCGAACATGGCAAATCAGGCCAGGCAGTACTATACAGTGGCGCAGGTGCAGAAGACTGCAATGCGAACCCTTTAGCAAGTCACCGAAGCAAGGTTCCCTTTCAGAATCGGATCCACTGATTAGGACGCTGCAAGACTTGGAAATCTGCACATGCACCTTGCCAGCTACATTGCATGGCTTTCGAAAGAAGTCTATTCGAAAGAGGTCTAAGAGTCAGCGGTTGTCTGACTCCAAAAATGCGCGCAGCTCTGCAAACTACTGTTCAGGCTGCTTCCTGCTCAGCGTTGAGGCGCTGGCTCCCGTACCTGAAACCCTGAAACACCCGATCGGCTCACGAAGTAAAGTCAATTGCAAAGCAGGTGCTGCATGCCCTGGAACCATCTACTAGTCGAATAAAGAAACCGTCCAGCGAAGAATTGAAGAACGTCCCTCCCGGCCTGAAAAACGGGATAAGATCATGGACTGAGGAAACGCGGTCCGTTTGGATCTGCAAGGGTCCCAGCTGCCAGACCTGTGCTACACAGCAGCTCGTGCAGCTCCTTTCAAGGCTGTGTCCGCCCGCCTGCGACTGTCAATGCGGCCCAGTCGGCAGCATGGCCACCTGGGCTTCAGAGATGCGGACTTCTCGCACGATGGCACGATCGCAATGCAACCGGGGCGCTGATAAGCCCGGCCATGCGTCCCGTTAGGGAGGTTGGCTTTGGCTCTTGCTCTGACTCGCGCTCGCGCGCACCTTTGAGAAACGAGGCTCCAGATGCCGTCGACGGGAACGGAAACAGCCAGGGCCCAAGGGGCCTTGTGCTGTGTCGATGGAGTAGAACGAAGGCACTCTCTGGATAGCAGGCTCCTGCAGAGGTCCCGAGCCAGCGGAGCATTTCCCAAAGATCTGGGGGCCCAGCATGGTCGGGTGGAGGAAATGACGGTGGTGGCATCGGAGGCCGCACGCCTTCGGCACAGAGGACATAGAAAGTGACGCTTGGAATTTGGGGTTTCTCGGAGTCTGGGTAGTGCATCGGAGCGAAGGCTACGCTAAAGGAACGGATGGACGAACTCCCGAATTGATGCCCTGCAGGAACTTAGGGTGGACACTGATTTAAGCAAGAAAGCCGGCCTCGTAAGCTTTCCGCAACCCTGCGCCCAGCACCTGGGAGTTGGGCGAAGACAAGACCCAGACCGCTGCACGGCATCATATGTGCTAGGGCGGATGCGTCGTAGCCGCTTTGCCGCCAAGCAGACCTCGGCAAACGCCGAATTCAGCAGCCTTACAGTAGCCCTAACATGCCCTAACCAAAGCTCTGCACGCCCGAACTCCTGGCCAGCCGCGATCACAAGACGTCTTGGGCTGCCGACGAAAGCAGCACTCGTGAAGGAGATGTCGGTCGGTTTGTTGGCTCGCCTGCAGATGTTGCATGGTGTGGCTCTCCAGGCAGCGCCCAAATTCTCTGCTGCGCTCTTGAAGCGCGAGGCATAAGGACTCAACCCATAGCATTCGGGCTGCTGGGCAAGGCCCCGCCGAAGCGCGTCCTGCAATGCCACTGCGTTGAGTTGCTCATTCCCAGGCCGATAAAAAAGCTGATTCGACATACTTTCGGAGAGCATCCACTCGGTGCCTCCTTGACGGAATGGAAGGTGCCCACTGGCGGTGCTGGAGCGAAATCCATGCCTGAACACAGCTTCCGAAAATAACTCTGCTTGCCAAACCGAAGAGAAAGTGTTCTTCATCTCACGTGCTCTCTGAGGTTCAGGCTCGGTCCGGTACCAGTACATCTCAAGTGGTCCTGAGAATGATTATCGTGCAACACTCGGCCAAGTGGCCCCTCATGCCTGCGAGCTCTGTGCTAAGATCGCAGCCAACTTCCCAACAGTAGTGCAGAGTCTTGCCTCAATGCGACAGGTAAGCCAAAGCCTTTTTCATCAGTTCTCCTGGTAGTCTTCGGTCCCTCATCAAGCTGGGATGCCCGACGGCCTCTTCGTCATCCGCCGGCTGATCAGTCCTGACCGAAGAGCAACAAGTTTTCTGTGGACCCTAGAAACGAGCCAGCATTTTCAGCTGATGGTGTCCGTCCTCCCTGTGAAGAAACCAGTACCATACTTCACCAGGAGAGAGACGCCTTAGCACTGGCGGCCGGCCCTTCCAGCCTAACCTCTGATATTACTCCTTGTCGCTTCATGCCACATGCAGCCTTTCAAACAAAACTTGATGTTGCTGGCAAGACAGCAAACGAAGCGTCAGCTGTTCTATGCTTATGTGTAGGTATTTACGCACATGGGCCAAATGCATGTGGATGTACACACCTGCATGCATTTATGTACATACATACATACATACATACATACATACATACATACATACATACATACATACATATACCTGCGGACATACAGATTTATGCATGTCTGTATATACACATGCAGACATGTACTCAGGTATGCATGCATGTAGGTGTGCATGTACTTATGTATGCGTGTATGCCTACCCACAAACCATATCATACTGTGGTACTGTGGAACCTGAGAGCACCACCCAGAAGAATGACCTCAGCGGATGCACCAATGCTGGAGAGACGCTCCTCTCTTGAGCTGCGGTAGTGAGACATGTCAAAGGTTGAAGTGGTAATAGAGTGAAGATTTATCCGTAATGACAGAAAGCGTCATGAGAGTCTGTTCGCATACAGTACATCCATCCTGTTGGAATTCCAACATCGCAGAGTCTGAACGACTTCGGGCTGAAGTGCTCTAGAACCATTCACACCGTCACACCTCGCATCTCAAAGAACACTCGGGAGCTCCTTAGCTCAAATTAGCGAGCATGTGCCCAGTCACAATACGACTTTGCCACCCTTCGCCTGCCCTGTGGTGCCGGCCGAACACCCGGAAAGGCACTACCATTGCAGCCAGGAGGCCAGATTCTCGAGACTGCAGAAGCCGATGAAAATCCCAAAGATCTGCGGCCACCGTGTTTTCGGGCTCGGTGCGAGCATGGTTGTCGGTTGTCTCTCTCGGTCTCTGTGTGTGCGCGTGTGTTTCATCATGACTCCTGCGACTCTTCTCTACCACGTCTACGACCTACGGGCCGGCGTGGCTCACAACTGGCAGGCCTGCTGTCCCACGCCAATGTCCCCGGACGTGATCTTCCACACGGAGAGGATGACGTAGAAAAGCCAAAGGCTTCCGAGGAAGACCCCGGACATCACCTACGTTTCAAGATGTCTTGAAGCCCCGGGTGGTTGAGCTGCACGATACGGGGGTTTCCGAAAACAGGGGACCCTAATATGGTACCCCAAAAAGTAGGATCCCAAGATAAGGGCACCCCTTGTCTTGGGAAACTCGCATACGGGCAACACCGAAACGCTCATGGCCAGCCCCCCCGCAACATCTCGAAGCTCTTGTACGTGAAGGCCTTCAATCCTCCAGGGCCGCCGAGCCTGCAAACGCAACACGGCGCGTCGACTTCGGGTTTAGGCGTTTTGGGTTTAGGCCGCAAAACACGGGAACAGCAGATCGGTTCCTAGGTCCTAGTGGACCCTCCACCCACCCAAACCACGAAGGATAGAACTGTTTCATATCGTTGCCCCGAGTCCCCGGCTCTGCTCCCAGCCGGCTGCGGCGCAAGTAGATCACCAGCAGAGCTGACATTTGCGGAGCGATCGGAGGGGTATAATCTGATGGTCGCAACAAGACAGTGTGACGCGTTGGAGGTGGTAGCTGCTATTCAACACTATCCAGCTCAACAAGGACCTCCAACAGCACGAGTGTGAGTAATTGTGAGTACAGCGGTTGAAGCTCACCAAAATGCTCGACAGTATAACTTTTTGTAAAGCTGCAGAAGCACGAAATAGCAACGAGGACAGACAACTGATGAAGCAAGTTGGAACCTGCAGGCATGTGAGTAACAGTGCGAATAACGCAACTCTGACATTATCTGCACTCGGAAGAGTGGTCCCGAGTCGTCATTCACCAAACCGGATCAGGCATGCGAAGAGAATGAGACGAAGGATACCACCTCCGAAAAACCCTAACGATCCTCAACATCACCACGTTCGCAAAAGAACATGCCGGGAACACCCAAGGCGGCGGCGACCTTTGGCTCTGCTGCAAATGCTACAGAATCCGCTAGCACGGGGGTTCAGAAACCTTCAGGATTTCATCACCAAGGATGCTTTCAAGAATGGAATCTCGACTGTTTGGGTCCCCACAGTGAAGACCGCCACGCTGAAGGCGAGGTCTCCACCCTGCACGACGAAGGCCCCCTTCGGCCACTGGCCTGCGGCTGCCGCGGGAGGCTAGGGAGGCTTGGAACCTGTATATGTATATACATACATATACATATACATATATATATATATATATATATATATGGGAAGTAGGCTCTAGCTGTCTAACTGGACCATGAGATTGTGTCCAGGCCCACCGGGGTCTTCTGCCGCGGTCTTTTCTGCACATTCGTGGACGTGCTAGCTGATTTGCCGATAGATAGGGAACGAAACAGGAGGTCATTCTGCCGCGAACTGACATGAAGTAGGACTGCATCACTCGTATCCCCGTAGTCACAACCAAAGTCATACACCCACCAATATTCTCAAGAGCCCTTCATCAACTCAAACATAGACCCTGCTTTACAACTGGATATCGGACGAACATCGGGATGCGCAGACCCTAGGCTGCTGATGGTGTTGGCATGGGTTGCCTCCGCAAAGTATTGACCGGACCTGCTTAACGCATCTCCCTCGCCGGCCTTGCAAGTCCGAATAGCGTGCAAGCCAGGTATCTGTTGTTCCCATCACCTGCGCTTTAGGTCGAACACTAGCGAGTGCAAGAAGGAAACAGCTGCAGCAAAGTCAGCGTCGTGTCCTGTCGCATCGCAACAGTCGAGGCAGCAGCAACAGTAAAATGGGTCGTCGTCCTCGTCGTCGTCTTATCGTCGAAGTCGTCGTAGCAGTAGTAATCCCCGTAGCCGTCGTAGGCATCGTAGCCACAGCAGTCCAAGCAGTAGTCGTGGTCGTGGTCGTGGTAAGCATCGCAGTGGGCGTAGTCGCCGTCGCAGTCGTGGTCGTCGTCGTTGTGGTGGTGGTGGTAGCAGTAGAAGTAGTAGTAGCGAGTAGCAGCAGTAGCAGTCGTTGTCCACAGTAGCAGGAGTAGCAGTAGTGGTAATTGTCGTCGTCGTAGTGGTAGTTGTAGTCGTAGCCGATCACATGTCACATGTCGCACACTGAAGTGTTCATGGGTTATCCTATATCATCACGAGTCGTGATTCACGACTACTCTAGCTGTTGCAACGACGACTGCTGCTGCTGGTGCTTGCGATACAGCCGTTGTTGATCAACATGTGAATGCGGTAGTACATCTGGCATGACTGCAGTTACTGTAACTGTCCGTCTTGCAGTTCTCGTGCTTAAAGAGGAAGACAGTGAGAACCGCAACAGCTGAGCTTGCGGCCGTCCAGTAGATTGCGGCGATCGACCACGGGAGACCGATCCCGAGAAACACGTTCACGGAGTTACTGGCGCGAGGTCGGAAGTCTCTGCTGGCAGAGCATGGACGGAGAGCACAGTGTCTAGACGACTCCATGTTGTTTGGATGTTTACAGTAAGGTAGTGCAGTCTTGGCATTATTGGTCCATCATCGGTTGTCCGGCCCCCAATCTCGCTACCCCAACAAAGAAAGACTCACCTGCCGCCCACGCCGACAAATACATACGCACACGCACAGGCACAGGCACACGCATACGCACGCGCACGTGCATGCTCACACGCACACCCACACCGACACCGACACCACCACACTCACAACACACGGGCCCCCACACACACACACACACACACACACACACACACACACACAGACAGACACACCGCTATGGAATTCGGATGGTGCTTTAGAGAAGTGCAAGCAACAGCACAAAGGATTCTGCCCTGCTTTGGCAGCTTTGGTGCGGTGGGACCAGCCTGCCAGTCACGTTCACGATGGATGCATCGGCATACCTGCTTGACATCAGGAGCAGAGACCAGTGAGGATGCCCTACCTCATCGCAAGGCGGTCTGAGTGAAACACTTGTTGGACACTGCTGCGATCTTCGACGCAAACAAATCCGGGACCGACCTGAGGGCACGTTCGAAGTACAGGGGCCGTCATGAGCGCGTTTCTGTACTTGACTTGAGCTTCCTGCGTGCCAAGTGCGACCACAGTGATCGCAGTAATGGAGTCCTTCCGGCGATCGACATGCTTCAAATCGACCCACGACATTTGACATATTTGGCGCAGCACACAGCCCCTCCTCCAGACCGGTCACACATCCGAAAAGCTCTGCGAAGTCGCAGATCGCCTCGGTTGTGATGAAGAGCCCTGAAACAGCACTGCCAGCGGCCGAAGTCAAGATCTGAGCTTCCCGCACACGTTAATGCGCCAATACTACCTCATGCGTAGCATGATGACGGCTGAGACACACAGTTGTTTCAACTGTTCACGTTGACAAACTTGCTGACGAGCTTCCGATGGACATGACGAAACAAATCCATCCCCCACAGTACGCAGGGGGTGGGATCAGCCTCAGGTGTCCACATGACGCAAGCACTTTGCGAGCAGTGAAACCTTATGAATGAATGGGTCACAGGCTGGCTCGTTTACAGCTTGCCTGAAGCCTGCAGTATTTCTCTGCTGTTAAGCATGAGAGGGGGCCTAGATCATATGTCGCTGAGGTATTGCTGTGAATCATTTTAGGCCTTCGTGCCAGCAGTTCGCAGCGCAATTTGCGGCGAAGAGTCCCGGCAGGATTTGGCAAAGCTCGTTAACAAAGCACAACCGTGCTTCTAATGATGAAGTTGGCATGCTGACACATCAACATTGTGCTCCCAGCAGAGCCTACTTTTCCCTCAAACATCTTTCCGGCTGCCAACTTCGTCGAATCGTTTGCGCAGCTTTCAGGACCTTGAAAGCTGAAACTCTCTCCGCTGCGGAGACGTGCAAACCCAAGAGAGGCTTTCACTTACCTTTGGTTAGTAGGGCATGGAAGAATGGTAGTAATAGTAGTTATACTTGTACCCCATTCCTCCATTCCCTACTAACCAATGGGGTACAAGCATAACTACTGTTGCTACCATTCTTCCATGCCCTACGAACCAAAGGATAAAGTTTAAAGCTGGTTGGAGCACCAGCGAAGAACGCGCTTCTGGACGTCTCTGCTGATCCACACCTGCCAGGCTCAGATCAGGTCTCGGCGAGTTTGAGATTCCAAGGGATCAAAAAAATGGGCCCTCAAAAATTGGGATTCATAATTAGGATTGGTGTTTTTGGGGGGGCCCATTATGCGAAAATTATAGTAAGGAACACCCCAAATAGTATTGGTAATTATTTCGGTGCCTATTTTAACCTGCTGCCCAGAGACTCCGGGCTTGATCTCCAGCTCGACCTCATCTGCATCTCCGACATCTGTGATGATGGTCGGAATCCAGCGCATGTGGGACTCGGAGAAGTAAACGACTTTGTCTCCGATAAGCGGAAGTCCTGAGCGAAGGTGGAAATGCGCCAGAGTGTCTTCGGGAGAAGCTGCTAATGTCGACTATGTGCAACTACTGTGCATTGACTGGATGGCCACCATACATACAAAGTATAGTCGAATCACATGCGGCATGGGCAAATGTTTGATTCAAGATCAAAAACATGCAGTGTATCCCATTCCAAGACAAGACTGTGTTGGCTGAAAGGGTGCTGCAAGTTGTATGAAGTGCCACATACTATCACACAGCATGCTGGCACACCATACTCCCATACTAGCATAGCAGTGCGACCATGTTTGTCATGCCTTTTTTGCCTCATGTACATTATCTCATGTTGCCTCCCCTTACCGAGTGTTCTCTTGCTGCTTGGGAGTATACATACGTCGACATTGACACATACACGACCATGTATTTCACATGTCAAGCGCGGCGTTGTTTTCTGCACGCCCACGTAGACACACATGACCGCCACTCAAGCAGACAAGCTTCGAAGGCGTTCCTGCTGTAGCGCAGCTCCTCACCATCGAGTTAAAGTGAGCCGCATGGGCAGAACAGAGGTTTCATAACAGAAGGTAGAAGACAGACTGCGACATCATCAAAGGTTCTCGTCGTAATTGTTCTAGGTGAAGCAGTAGTCGCACTAACATGTACCAGTCGCAGCCACCGTAGCAGGAGTAGTGCAGTAGCAAGGTAGTTGCAGTAGCAGCAGCAGTGGCACTGGCAGAGGCAGTGGAAAAGGTAGGTGCGGGGACAGGGCAGTGGCAGTGGCAGTGATAGTAGTAGTGGTAGTAGTAGTAGTAGTAGTAGCAGCAGCAGGAGTAGTGGTAGTAGTAGTAGTAGTAGTAGTAGTAGTAGTAGTAGTAGTAGTAGTAGTAGTAGTAGTAGTAGTGTAGTAGTATGTAGTAGTATGTAGTAGTATGTAGTAGTATGTAGTAGTATGTAGTAGTATGTAGTAGTATGTAGTAGTAGTAGTAGTAGTAGTAGTAGTAGTAGTAGTAGTAGTAGTAGTAGTAGTAGTAGTAGTAGTAGTAGTAGTAGTAGTAGTAGTAGTAGTAGTAGTAGTAGTAGTAGTATGTAGTAGTAGTAGTAGTAGTAGTAGTAGTAGTAGTAGTAGTAGTAGTAGTAGCAGGAGTAGTAGCAGCAGTTGTAGTAGTAGTTGTTGTTGTTGTGGTCGTCGTAGTAGTAGTAGTAGTAGTAGTAGTAGTAGTAGTAGTAGTAGTGGTAGTAGTGGTAGTAGTGGTGGTGGGTAGTAGTAGTGGTAGTAGCAGCAATGGTAGTAATGATGATGGGTAGTTTTGCAAGTGTGGCTCGGCTTAGAGCTACAAACCAAGTACGGTGGGATCTTTGCATGATGGCGATTATTCTCCTCGTCTCAAACTGCTGACACCATCTGAGTTCGGCACGCAAATATGTAGCCTGTTGTGCCGGGGTGATCCAGGCACTAGGCAAAACGTCGATGACGGCACAGCCGCTCTGTGCATCCTGGCAACTGCAAGCATTTCAGGGCTGTGTTCAATCGAGATGGAGCTACATATAGTAATCCCCCTCTGGCAAGATAGCTCAGACCCATGTCCGTAACGTGCAGACTCTTCGGCATCCTGCATTGTTTCCAGGATCTTGCCTGCACCATGCCCCAGCCCTAAATCCTTATGCGCGAAATCCGGCAGCACCTGTCTGCCCCCGAGCCTGCTGAAGTATTCTGCAGGGTATCCAAGCGGAGAGGTTCAAGGAGTAGTACTCGAGCTCCTCACCTGATCCCAAGGGTTGTTCGAAATTATGGCCTCTTTCAGAATCGCTGTCTTGGTGCCCAAACAAATGCTGTAGAGAACCCTGAACCACAAGCTTGAACTTCACCCCTTGGGGCTTTACCGGGGGAGGCTTCACCGAGGCTTCGAGGGATATAACGATTTTGCAATAGAATCTACTGAACAACAACCACCTTCCACACAATCAAGATAATTCAACAATGAGAATCGCAATTATCCTGTCCTGCTCATCAGCATCGTCCTTGCAGTCACCCCTAGAGGCCACGAACTTGAGTCTTGAACACATCATCATCACCACGATCACCATCACTGTCATAAGCATCATCATCATCATCAACATCATCATCATGATCGGTTGACGTCTCCGTGGCCCGGGCTTTGCAGATGCGACAGATCGAGATCTGCCGAGGATTTGGATGGCGCCATCTGCCCCTGCACCTTCAGGGCTTCGAAAGCATCGTTGTTTTTGTGCGCTCGGTTTCAGTTTCCACATCTTCGGCATTCGGAGCTCCCTCAACCCTGATCTACGAAACCTCGCAAATGCTGCGACAACTCCCAAAAAACTATCCCTCACACACATCGAAAGTCTTAAAGTTGAACTCCAAAACCGTAGGCCCGACACCAACTCACCCCTCAGCAACTGGTCAGTCTTGGATTTGCCTTTTTCTGGATTGTAAGATCAAGCGGAAGGCGGCGTGTGATGATGACGCACCGATCGTGATGGTGCTGATGATGGTGATGACGACGATGATGCTGGTAATGGTAATGGTGATGATGCTGATGATGATGCTGATGGTGATGACGACAGTGCTGATGAGGTCATCAAAACGACTTGTCACGAAGCTGGTAGATTGTGACGTGAACTGTCGCGACAACAAGTGTGACTGATCCTGACAATGATGGCGAAGGCTAGAGACTAGTCGTAGATTTGCTTTTGTCATGACGAGTCTGGCCAGCGTTGCTGCTGCTAAACATGCGACAAATGACAGACTTGTACCACCTCATGCATGAGTGTCTCACCGTTCACCACTAGTTCAGGACTAGTTCTGTTTTTTGCTTCAAACTGATGTTGTCCACGACGATTGAATGGTTACCCTCATAGTTGCAGCACCACACCATCCCAAATCCCAAACCCCGGGCCTCACCGGAACCAAGCAAACCGGGGAGCCGGACATGGCCCTTCCTGAGCTTGAAAGCAAGGCGGCGGGCGGGAGAGAGTGTGGGCTGGAGGGGGGGGTGGGGGGGCTTCGAGTCAGACTTTCCGTTGAAGCTACATGGGTGGTTGTCAAAATGATGGTCCCTTTTCAGGTACCTTAAATATTAGGTGCCGTATTATAATAAGGACCCCAAAAGCCACCCTAATATTGACAACCATGGAGGTTGACAGGAGACAGAGGTGCAAGTGACAGGATCAGACCTGAAGGGAAGTGCCAGGAATCTGATGGTGGAGAGGTATCCAGCAGCCCGGCTTCACATCCAGCTGTATGGAGTTCCTCGGCTGCCCGAAGATTCCCTGTTCTGTTCATTGCTTTTGATATCCTATGGCTTTGCTGTGCACGGAGCCTGTGCCGAAACCGACTGACATGTCCCAAAGCCCCAATGCAGCCAGCTTGTTCTGAGAGTTCTGTTCCGAGCGTCTCTTCGTCTATGCTAGTGACCCGGCTCGGAATCCAGCGACCGGCAGAGATGGACAAATACCTGTGCTGCGCTAGTGGTCGTCATATTGTGACTCATGATGCTACTGCCTCGATTGTAATGCACACACGTCTTAAGGTGCTGCGTATGTGAGCATGTGTGTTTTGCATATGCCTGGGTACATGCACGATCATGCGTGTGCCCATGGACATAAGTGGGGCGGGAGCCATGTACGGATCTGTCGAAAACACTGACAGCAGGAGATCCAAAGTTATAGTTTTGGTTTTAGTCACCTTAACAAGCAACATTCTGGCCGCATACAAAGTAACAGCAATAAGAACTTCAACGTCACTATCGTCAGAACTAAGGAATGGTAGCAGCAATAGCAACACAGCCAGGACCACCCGCAGGGCCATTGCAGGCCAGCAACTCTACAGGCTGTCCGACGCAGAACTGGCCGTTGTCACTCTTCGTCCTTGGGTTTTCGGGTTCTCATGGTGGGGTCGAGCAAAATAAAGGCTCCTGCCACTTTCCCTTACAGTGTTCTGCCGAAGCACCTGCCGGTCGATCCGAGCACCTGGCACAGGGTAGCTCCGAAGTCCTGCAGCCTCAATTCTTCTAGATCATGGAAGCTACGTATCACAGCCTGTGGTGCTCAGTCCGAAACGTCATGCTAGGGGCTCTCAACTTCCTGCTTTATTTGGTTTCATTGCGTTCTTGAAGAGAATACACCCAGAGTCTTCGCCCAGTGCTCCTAGTCCGTATAAAGCTGCAGTACTGTCGGAGCAACCCCCTCTATCCGAAAGGTGAAACCTAGCCGCTATGCTTGGGCAACAGGCCCCACCTGGCGCGTATCCTGTGTCGGCGACATCTCCGGGGAACGTTGCAATTCGCAGGCCCGGACACGCCGTGCTTGGTCCTGCTGCAAAAGAAATTTAGAATATCCTTGCCACCATATACTTCCTTTTCCGCCTCTCCGACGTCATCATCCGCGGCATCAGCATCAGCCGTCAGAGGCATCACCGCTGTTGCAATGTTACCAGCGTCAACATCATCAGTGGCAACATTAATGCTTGGGAAGAGGCCACAGAAGCTAGGGGAAGGAAGCGTGGCAGACGAAAGGTGGGGCGACAGCCGGAAGCACGGCACAATGATGTGCAAGCAAGTGAAAATTTCCCTAGGGCCGGCATATGCCAACCATCTTTTTGCATCCTAGTGTGTCAAGGGCTTTGTGCTCAGAGTTGTCGAGGCAATTTTTCTGCGAATTTCGATCGCTTGCAAAAGAAGCAGACAGCTGGTTGATGCTGAGACATGATGACACATGTTTTCGAGGCACGATACCTGGCTAAGTTGGCCGATGCCTTGAGTGAGCCTACGCTTAGATTGTTTTACAAGTACGGAAGCTTCCTCTATCCGGGCGAAAAGCCAAGCATGTGCTCAAGCAGCCATCTAAGTTCCCTCCGTTGCGTCCCAACACTGCATGCTTGCTATTCACTTCCGAGATCTAGCCTCCGTTGTCAGCCAGGTGTTCGGCTTGACATTGACCATTATGGCACCGTCACCGCGCACATTGATGACTTCGCCTGGGTGGGGCGGGCAGAGCGCAGATGGTCCAGACGACAGTTCAATTCCTCATCTGAGCCTTGCACATGGTATCCATCTGCAGGCAGTCTTGGACCAAAACTCAAGCTGCTGTCCCACGTAGGCCCTGCAAAACAGCAACAGGTGTTGACAGTCTAGCTGAGTCTAGCTGCTACTGTCGCATATGCCGTGTGGCGTGCCTCACACTGTCGGGGTCCCCAGCATTCTCCTCCACGGCTGGGTTAGGATCCTGGCGCAGAGACCGCCAACGAGTAGCTCGAGCGGAGAGCGTTGCAAAGCTGAGCGAACGGCAAGAGCCGGTGGAAGGATGTCGTCAAAGGGGCACATCGGCTTCGCGGTGCTCGACAGGTTCATGAGTGCTTGTCCTGCGGCTAGGCTACGCGGCTGTACAAAGCTGGTGTTTATACAGGAAGCAGAAATGGACTTCCGGCACTTTGGAACCTGCATGTGCTACGTAACTAAAGGTAATGATGCTAGATGACACAGCAGCATCGCTGGCAGGATATTATCATGAGTGATGAGCTGTACTGCTATGTGTCCCCGGCCTGGCAGGGATCTGGATGATCTGGTTTCACCGTCACTAGTGTCGGTCTCGCCCGCCAGCCTTTCGGTGAGAACCTGCCCGAAAAGCACAGAACTGCACAGCAACTCCTCTCGAAAGCTTCTAATGCGCAAGAATGCAAGAATGCGTGAATGCTGACAGAACCATCATCAGACAAGTTATACTGTAAGTGTCATTGCGGAGAAACAGAGCAGAAACTGCTCTTTAACAAAAATAGCCAGCCAACAGCGAATCTCGGGACTGTGCTGCCGCGTGTGGGTTTTACGGTCGAGACTCCGCAGACCGTGCCTCTTGCTGCACCTCTTGCTGAGTCAAGCTGTCCAAATCCAGCACCTGCAACATCAAAACACAAACCCTCAAACAAGCCAGGCAATCATGTGTGGGACTACACGACAGCAGAGTGCAGTCGGGAGTCCTGCTCCATCACCTGCCTTGGCCAAAGCTGGCTGGGGAGGACAGGCTCGTCCTACTAGTGGGAGCAGCGGAGTGGTCATAACTTGCTGCACGTGCGCCAGACCCCGGTCTCTGCAGGCTCCTCTTGGATGTGCTTCTCCCGGAAGACTTGGCTTGGGGTCAGTCCCTTCGGCATCTCCTCCCAGGCAGAACCAGATGTCATGCTCAGGCACTAGGACTGCCCTGAATCAGCAATCTGGCCGTCCTGCCCAGTCTTCTTCTCACTGGCACCACGGCTGCTGCTTTCGGACTGCTCCTCAACTGATCTTTACGCTCTGTAGCATGCATTCACTAGCCGCAATGGGATGTACTGAGCGTCAGCTACTCATCGGCTTCGACCAGTCTAGAGTTATTTTGCACTGTGCTGGGGCTCAGGCGTAGCCCATAGCAGGTTTGCCCTGCACCGGCGTTGACAAGTGGGACAAGTCCTGCCGCAATGGACACAACAATCACTAGTCAATCGGGGTGTCAATCGGGGTATGCAATCCAAACAAGCCAAAGGCGAAACCAAGGCTGCGCTGACACTGCTAAGATGGTGCTTCCATCTAGTGCCGTGGCAGAGAGCTCGTGTCCTGCAATGTGCAGTGTCACATGCCCTCCTCGTATCCGCTCTACAACCTTAAACCGCGGATCCTCCTCTACTCGCTTCTTCTCTGGCTTCGAAGTAATGGCAGAGCCTGGCAGGCGACTGTGGCTCCAAGATGCACAGCATCCTGTCATGCATACGTGAGGGACACTCGCAACTACCTCACGAAGGACTGTGGTGTCGAGTCAGTCCATGCCGAAGTTAAGGCCTTGCTGGGTGACTTCCACTTAGAAGCATCGCTCGAAGTTTCCACCCAACCTGGCCTACCGCAGCGGTGAACGCCGAGAACTGCCTCTGCAGATCCTTCAGCCTCGGAAGACTCGGGCACCAAGCAGTCTCGGTCTCAACTACCGCGGCAGCCCGGCCTCAATAAACTACTCTCAAAGCCATGTTTGCATTTTTGTGGCTGCACCTGAGAAGCTGGCCAGGTGCCGGCAGAAGGCAAGGTCTGTGGAATCCGGGTAGCGATCGACGACTGCGAAGAACCTCGTGGAATTCCTGCCACGCAGTGCGCGAAGTTCTGAAGAAAACCTGATTTGTGAGGAACTTGCTGCATCTAGCGAGCAAGTCATACACTGTCAGCGAGTAATGAGTAGCATTGGGTAGCCATGACAGCAAGATTGGCGCTAGGCATGCGATGCATCAGATGCACCATGCTTACAGCAGCGATTCTCATGGCAGCAGGGATCAAGAAGCAACCTTATCATGCGTAAATCAGTCCTTGCAGCAGTGGATCTTCCTCCGGAATTTGCCTCATGGTTTTCCCATCGGCAGGTTGCGGAGACGATCAGTTCAACATGGCAGATGTGCCTTTATCGGAAGCTAAACATATCCTGTCTTCCTTGATAACCGGGCCCAAAGAAGTTCAGGCTGTCTAAGATAAACCAATTATCTTATATATGGTCGAAAAGTTTAAAGTTCCCCCGTCGGCTAAGTTTTTACGTCATATATCCACACCCAACATGCAGCATGAAGTTGCAGTAGCTGTCGGGACCTTTCTTTCATGACTGGCCTGCCAAGATCGGGGCCCTCAACATCCGTAGGGCTCCAGACGGCACGCACAAACACTACAGTCAAGCCTAACCTCTGAAAAACTCGACAAACCTTAATTAGACCCTAAAACCCGAAGCCCTTCAAACAACTCCGGTAGGATGGGGTGTATCATACTATGATGATTATCATTATAACAATTAAACCCCAACATGGTAGAGGTAATTCTTACCCCTAAATCGTAAACCCTACCTAAACCCCAAAACCCGAAGCCCAAAAAAACAACTCCGGTAGGATCTTCCTGGGACTGCAGCTCGGGATTTAAGTTCTGCGTCTGCCGCTGGTAGGCCACAAACTTCCGCATCCGCTCCAACCTCCGAGCTCTAAGCGATCTGAGGGTTAGCCATATAGGGGGATATTCAAGCTGGGCATATTCATGTTTAGATGTGTATGTGTGTGTATATATATATATGAACATATATAGAGACATAGATACAGACAGACAGATAGATAGATAGGGGTCTTATTCCAGCACTTTTAGGAGGTTAGCCTGATGAGGCTTGGATTCAAGACTTCAGGGTCTTCAGCGCGGTGCGTGGACTGCAGAGTTTCAGGTTTGCAAGACTTGGGAGTTTCCGAAAAGAGGGGAACCATATTTTGGGGCCCTTATAATGAGGAGCCTACTATTAGGGTACCATATTAGGGTCCCCTATTTTCGGAAACTCCCAAATGCTCTTGACTCGGGCGTTACGGGGGGTTTTCGGTCTTTCGGCCCTGGCTCCACGTGATGACATCAGGAGACGATACTTGGAGGTTCAGGGGTAGTTGTAAGTGGGGTTATAAGTCCCCTAATATGGGTTATAAGTCTAGTTACCCTACTTATAACTCTACGTATAAGTACCCATGAACCTCCAAGTAGGCACCCTAGCTGCAGCCCCTGCACTCGATCTTGAAAAACAGAACTGGGCTGTTCGGCTTTGGCGATGTGCAGATGGCGTTTTCAGATGAGGGATCGGGGCTTTTGTGGCACTGACGCAGGCTTTTGGAGTTGTTCTGCTCACTCCTTGAAGTATCCTTTCAGCTTGCAGCTCTGCCTTGAGGGCTTTGGGGGTTCGGAGTCAGAGTTCGAAGGGGTTTATAGGCTTTAGGGTTTAGGGTTTATTAGCGTTTGTGGTGGGAGCTTGCGATGTCGCAGAGCCCAACTAATGAAGTTGCAAGGAATGTTGAAGGCATAACCTTGACCACACCTTGCGAAAATCACACCTTTGCCAGCCCGTGCTACACCGAGTGCCGAGCGCTTTCTGCAGTTGGACTGGTTCCTTTGGCGGCTCCTAGCTGTAGACATCTGCACACTCTTTGGGATTATGGCATAGGTTCTGGATTTCGGAGCCCGTGGCCCATGCAGGCGTCATGCATTGGTCCCCTTCGAAGCCTGCAATGGCTCTCTCTCACAAACGGATAAGCTACCATGTTGCAACAAGCATGATCGGTCTCCTGGATCCAGGAGTGCTTGAGAGCACCCTCGGCCGTAATCCGTTCCTGGCAAGACCCACAGGTCCGACACATACCCACCCCACCCGGACTGCGTGAAGCTCACATTGATGTCTTAGGGAAGGGGCTTGAAACGCAGAGGCAAGGGTGGGTGCTTCTCAACAGCTGCAGCTTGCTTGCTGGAGGGCTGAACCAGCCGTCAGCAAAGAAACAGAGACCCACAGCAAGCTCGTCTGGACTCCTGCGTTTCAAGAGAAAGAAGAGTCGGAGAGCCTTCACCTTCATCTTCAACAGCATGCGGATCAGCGATTTCGCATCCTGCCGTTCTTTCAACGGTACAACAAACCGCCTAAACCCTGTACCCCAAACCGTGGACAGGAGCAAAGAAAGGAAGCAGTAGCTCGCACCCGGCCTGTGAGACCAATGTCCAGTCCGATGACGGAAAAGAGTAGTTCCCCCTTGCCAGCAGCTTGCGCTTGCATTTGTGCGCAAGCAGGCTCACGCCAACTCGGCCTTCGTATCGCATTCATGACTGCTGCATCGGTGTCTCCGCGGAAGGGCGGATATCCGCAAAGAAGAATGTACAGTAGCACCTACGCGGCTCAGCAGCTAAACAACACTGTTGCGATTGCAGTTTAGATTCAATTCATGTCCGTTTGAAGGAACAAGGTTTTGCAAACAAACGCAAGCTCACGATGGTACTCAGGATGGCCTGCTGAGGAACCTGAAGGGACACTATGATACAGCTCAGGCACTCCGCAGCTCCACAGGTCAATGGAGTGGTCATATTTGCACTCCAGAACCTGCGGTTTGCAGTGCAACCAAAACAGCCTAAAATGCCTGCACTGCCTCTCTCTATTCATCTCTGTCCAGGCACCTGTGGTGCAACGTAGATGGCTGTACCGGCACACTGTCGCATGGCTTCCCCGCGAGTAAAGCAGCACGCCAAGCCGAAGTCTACTATCTTCCTGGGCGTGCTTTGACATTCAGTCGCTCAATTGGAGGCTGTGGAGAACTTGAGGGATCGAACAATGGTAAGAAGTCGTGCCAGCTTTGCTTGAATATTGACCTCTGTCCTTCATCTTGTTCTTGTAGGGATTGGCTTCTTGAGTATTACATAATCTCATAATCAAACTTATCCTGCCCGGTGTTGTGAAGTGACTACATTTACCGTGAGAAATAACTTAAGACAAGTGGATTGCTACTTTGTCACTCCAGTGTCCTTACTGTGATAGTGAGAGCTGTGCTTGCCGTTTCTTTTCTCAGGGCTGCTGCTAAGTGGTCGATACTGACAGGTACATGCTGTCATGCCTTCTCAAGGCAGGGTGTCCCACGATCATACAGGCCCTATGCTTGTGAGCATCTCCGTACTGAACTGCGGCTGATGATGTCCAGAGGCGGCCGCTGCCCATGTTTACTTTGTGGCTTTACCACTCTTCTCTGGTTTTTGCTTGGTTGTTGCTATCATTGCCGTTGTCATCTTCATGTTGGTGCTGCAGCTCAGATTGTTTCTGTTGTTGCTACCGTGCCTGTTGCTGCTCCTGCTCCTGTTGCTGCTGGCTGATGATGTTATTGTGTTTGAAATGATTGGCAGACAAGGTTCACCACGTTGTCCTCGATCTGGGCTTGGCTCAGCAGAAGAGTGTTGGCATGCTTGATGTCGCGGTGGCAGATGCCAACCGAGTGCAGGTAGAGCACGGCCTGGAATACCTGCTCGCCCGGGAGGTGTGGTCAACAAAGCAACAACCATAGTTAGTCATAGCAGAGACGGCAATGACTGTTTTGACAGGAAAAGTCGACAGTCGCACGTTCATCGTTTTCGCCAGTTGTATCGCTGCTGCTCCACTTGCTCAAATCCCGACGCTAATGTCGATCTCTGTCACTTGCACTTCTTGCTCCACTTCCCCACTCGGACGTTCAATACTAACAGCAACACCAGGAATCGCCGCTACAGCAGAGATGCAGTGATGGTGATACAAAAGCAGTATCTTGCGCGGAACACTAATGACTTAAGGATGAAATTAGAACCCCTGCCACCCCATGGCCCCAGGAGGACTTCACCGAGACCCGGCCCTGGCGCCTGCCGCATCACGATCACGGCCTGGGCTTCCGTGTGTCGGCCGCTCTCCAAAATGAAGCCTCCCAGGTGCAAGGATGAATAGTAAGAGCCAGAGCAGCGATGGGAAGAGCGAGGACAGTGAGGGTAACAGTTATGAGGACACGAATGGTACCACTCCAAAATTTCTGATACCGTCGCTGTAATCAGTAGTCCTGATATCATGCCAAACCGCAAAGAACCGGCTTCAAACTTCTAGCGATTCTCATGGCAACGACACTCCCGGGCACAAAGATACATTGATCCGCCCCGAAACCTAGCAACTCGCCACCAGAGCAGAGCTCCATGACGAGAAAGACGTTCTTCTCATCCTCCGAGCAAGACGGCTGAAGCAAACCAAACCTAAACCCTCAACCCTTTTGACCCCCTGATTCCGGTTGGACCTCGCAGAGAAATGCCCCGGTCCACTAGCTTGTTCCGGGATTCTCATTAAAAACAACAGCCTACGATTCGAAGTTCATGTTGGGATCAACTGTATGCTGAAAACTCCCACATGTAGGCGGCGCTGTCCTCGAATGTCTCGTAGAGAAGCACCGTGTTCGGATGATCGAGTTTCCTGGAGGATGCTCTGCGAGTCGTTGCGATGCTGCTCTTTTAGCCACCACATGTCGATGAAATCTACTCTGAACCCATGTCCCTTTAAGCTTGAACTGTGCGAGGCAGTTTAAGACCCGCCTTTCCATTTCACGCTCAAAGCTGGACTTGCCCGGCACCTCATGATGAAGATCTCCTCCTTCAGCCTCTGGGCATCCCTCCTCACAAGCCGGCCAACTCTCCCGATCTGACTTGACACTGAAAGCCGAGCTCGGCTAAAGACTGCTGGTCCCCGCTCCTGCGCATCTGCCCCAGCTGTTCTGGAGCTGTTTGCGGAGCTCGTTTCAAATCCAGCTTTGGCACCGCCTCTCTTTTTTCGCCAGGGCTATGGGCAAGAGGTTGCACCGCCTCTCTCTCTCTCTCTCTCTTGCTCACACAGCTCTCTTCGCTTCGCTTCGCTTCACAGGGGTCAGGCTTCGGCTGAAGCCCGCGCCTAGGCGCCCCCTTTCCCCCATTGTTGGGTGGGAAAGAGGCTTTGGGGCCGTTTTGCACGGGAATTTTTCCCCGACGGTCGGTTTAGGTGGAAGCGTCTGCCTGTCGGTTACCCCCCAACCCTGTACACTATCGCGCTTCCCGGCCTCTTCGCCGCGCTCTCTATAGCTCAATCCTTAGACCCTCGACAGGCAGCAACCCCCAGCAGTACCTATGGTTCGGCATGCGCTCCCCTTTTGCAAAGCAACAACAGCACTAAGGTACCGACTGTGTGTACTGGGAGCGTCGGGGGTGTAACTGTGCAGACAGCATGCCAAGTGTAGAAAGATCACATTCCCCCATGCCGTGTTTTAGTAGTACTGTTTTGGCGTTTGCTCCCCTTAAGGCAACAAGAAGCTAGCGTAGATGGTTTGGGGAGCACTGGGGATGCACTGTGCAGATTCCTAGTTGAGTGAAGGACGATTTCCCCTTTCGCCAGTTTAGGTGACAGAGCTGTACTTTAGGCTTTTGGAGTCTGGGCGGGCTTTTGCAAAAAAGCAAGGATCAACAAACTTGCAAGCCATATAACTACCCCCTTGTGTCGAAACCAAGTTGCCCCCTGACTCTCTGCTTGCTGCGGTGACAGGTTGGCTTAGGCATACAGGCGAACAACACTCAAACAAGAAGCTATTCCCCCTTAAATTGGACCATGCCTGTCATAAAAGGTAGCAAGCATTCGTCTACGCCGGTGTCCCTCAGGGCTGGGTTCGGACTCGTCCTCCCCCTCACTGGGTGCCAGGAGGTTGGCGACTGCCCCCATTGGCTCAGGAGCTGGCGGTGTCCACGGCAGTGTGGCTTGTTGGCTTTCCCCGGCTTCCCCCAGCTCTGGCAAAGTAGGAAGTAGCTCCACTTCGGCGAGGTCTGCCAGGAAGCTGTCTGTCTCGAGGGCGGCCATGTCTTCTTGGTTTACCCCCGGTGAGAGCGCGAACCAGCGCCTTTTTGTTCCGGCCGCGTGCGGTGCGTTCTGCTCCCCCACGTCGGTTTCTTGTACTGGTTCTGTCTGCGTCTCGTCACTTACAGCTTGCATCCCCCCAAACAAGGAGTGCTGCCAGGTCTCGATTGCCTGCAGGACAGCTAGGACTGGTGCGAGGTCCCCGTCCCCCATGAATGCGGCCGCTTCACGTAGCTCGGCTGCTGCCTCCAGCAGCTGCATAGTCGCCGACATGGTAGTGCTCGTTCTGGCTGTCCATTCCTTGTCCCCTTTGTCGAGGGCGATCACGTCGGCGGGGTGTGCTTCTGCGCGTTCCCCCTCCTGCTCTGCCAGGAGTGTTGCCGGAGCGAGGTGGTCAAGTAGAGCATCCCACCATTTGAGGCCGTTCCACTGTCGGTCTCCCCCCATGGCGCGCAGGATGACCGCGTCCAGCATCTCGTAGGCTTTCTGCAGGCGGGCACGGGCTCGTAGTACTGCATGGCTGGCTGAGCTAGCTTCCCCCTGTGGTAGGTCATGGATGCCTTGTTCCACCATGCTGCGTAGAATACTTATATCCGTGGCGTACTCTTCTGGGGTAAGGTTGTCCCCCCTTCTCACTCGCATGCTTGTGGCGCAGCGGTATGCTTCCCCTATTGCCGACGGGAAGGCCTGCTCTGTGTTTTTCCTTAGTACTCCTGCTGTAGCGCTGCTTTCGCTGAGCATGCGTAGGGCATTGGCACAGATATTTGCTATGACTGTGCTCTCTGCCCCCTGCATGTTGGCTGCCACTTCGTGTATGAGTTGAATCTGTGCTGCTGTGGCTTGTATCCCCCCACGTAGGGCTGCGATGGTGCTGGCATGTGACAGTGTGCTGGTGGAGCTGCTTGGCTGCTGGGGTGGTGGTGGTGGTGGTGGTGGTCTGCTGTTGGGTGGCGGGCTTCTGCTGCGGCTGCGGGGCTTGCCGATGTGGCTGTTGTCTCTTCTGCGTCTGCGTGTTAGCCCCACTGCTTCTTCGTCTGTTGTGTTGCCTGCAAGTTCGCTTGAATCGATGCAGCAGTCTGTTGGGGTGGTGGTTCTGGTACTGGTGGTCGCTCTCTCTCTCTCTCTCTCTCTGATCTGGGCTTTGGCAATGGAACCGCCAGAAGCACTAGGGGTCACCAGCATGTTGCGTAACTTGACAGAGCCTCACTGCATCCACAGGTGACAGCACTGTAAGCCAACCTGCCTTGATGGCCACCGTCTCGCCTGTGCCCTTGTGGGTAGCTCCGAAGACAAAGCCGAAGCCCCCCGCACCGATCTTGTCCCCCTTCCGGGTGTAGCTATCCCATACCTTGGCTGTCATCTGGTGCTCACTTTTTTCCTATCAGACTGTCAGGTTTTCCTGTGTCACAAGTCCGGTGGGCGCCCCACATCTGCATCAGTGCCGGTAACAGACCACCTTGCACTCTCTGCATCCTGGCGCGATGCTGCCACGGCCAGGATCATGCTCTCTGGCTGGCTTCTGTTGTTGCAGGCCTTAGCCTTAGACCGGCAGTGCCCCCACACGACATGGCAAGACAAGCAAAAAGATGTCCTGCATCTGCACGGAGGATCCAGCGGCATTGCTGGCGGCTACAACGCCTGCCTCCTGAACCTTCAACTCGTACTGCCTCTTCGTTCTACAGCTAATTCTACCGGCTCAAAGCCTTGGCATCAACCAGCTTGGTTGGACCATTCTTCTGCGCATGTAACCCCTAGTTACTGGCGATTGCTAAGATGAGCATCGCTCACTAGCGGTTAGGCAGGGATCGCTCTTGGCCTGATGCTGCGCCCATTGGGGCAACTAACAGCTGGAAGCAACATTCAGCGTTCGAGGACATGCAGCTCACGAAGCTCTAGAGCGCAGAAGGGAAGAGCACTGCACGCCAAGATGTGTGGAAAGCGACGAGCCGTTCAGCTTCTGCCAACCTCCTTCATGCAGCCCCTACAAGCCATACAAGCATGCGAATATCAAACATGCACTACTTGCCTACAATCGTGTCGCGATGTTCTCGACAAGTTCCCACACTCCTGCAGTGAAACGATAAAGTCACCTTGTAACCAGCACCACGGTTTTTTCTTTGGGTCCCACTGTGGGTGGAAAACCTGATGGGTTCACTGAACTCGCACCAAGTACGCGGCAGAGCCAGGCACAGCTTCCAAGGCAAAGAGATGATGTGCAGGATCCAGTCAGCACAGGAAGCCCTGCGAGCTGGCAAGATGGTCATTGGGCTAGCATAGCACAGTATAGGGTGTAGTCTACAGCAAGGAGGAGATGGTATATCGCATATCGCATATAGTATCGCGCATATGTCTTCTAGTATGTAGTGTTATGTATAGTGCATGGTGTTTAGGGTGCGGGGTGTAGGGTAGATGGTACGGGGCATTGGGTTTGGCATGAATCATATAACATAGTGCCTTGATACATCTACATGTGTATGTACAGGATATATATATATACATACACACATACATACATATACATATACAAGCCGATAGTTAGATAGGTAAATAATTGGCCGGATAGGTAAACAGATAGAAAGATATGTATGTAATATGTATGCAGCTGTCGATCTATCTATAATATCTATCTACAGGGATGCGTATAAGCACGTATACATATATACACATACAGACATGCATATGTAATAACATATATGTACAAATGATATATGTACACATACATACACATGCAATGCGTATGATTATATCCATCATTGCTAACTTATATAACCCTTCTCCCGGCTGTCGGAAGCTTGCCTCTCGCCCTCCTCTGCTACGCTGCAGAAGGAGGCAACAACTTCCTGCTCATGTCGGGGCTCAACGATTTCGGTCTGAGGCTGTAGGGCTCGAGGCTGCTGTTGAAGGGCTTCCACTTTGGCAAAGGCACATCAACTTTCGCCCAGCGCACCTCGTACCATGACTGCGTTCCAAGACGTAACTTGTCAATGTTGATGACCTTGTCCACGAACTGGCTCATCTGAATGGAAGCAATGTTCCTGCACACCCGTCTGACTGTCTGACTCACAAGAAGCAAGATGGAAAGCCCAGGCCTGAAGTCAATACAACACGCGGCGACATGCTTAAAATGGTGCAGCAAAGCATGCTGTGGCGAGTTTCGGCAAGCCGTCATGTGCTTGCACCGTGCTGCTATCCGTTTACACAGTTGATGGAACTCGACGATCCGATCCCAATGAAACCAGGATGTCCCGAGTGACAACCGTGTCCATGCTAGATGCGGCGACACAGCGCCCCACATTGCACAGATGCAAAGGCAACAAAGAACACCGGTCGTCCCAGACCCTCTCTCCAATTTACCACAACAACCGCTCGAGAAGGCCACACATATTCTCAACAGGAAGCCGGTACCAAGCACTGGTACTGCTGAGCATGTTCTCGGGGCTCTCACCTATAACTCCTATCAAGAGGTCGGTCCCGCCAGAGACACGAAGCAGCCAGGCCCCTCCCGATATCCTCGTAAGCTCATCGTTCTCGTTGAAGATAGTGACGGTCAGGACGCACCTCGGAACTCTGAAAGAAGGATGGCTCCAAGAAGACTGATGCAAAGAGCCTAAGATCCTAACAGATTTAGCATCCAAGAGACATATGGGGCCTTAATAGTTTGAATAGGGTTTTGGGGTTGATGTTTCTATAATTACTAAACGGAACCCCCTAAAATTGTCCAGGTAATTCTTACAGAATAGGACGTGAGGGCGGTGTGCGTTTGCGAGAGTCGTATTTGGGATGAGTTTTGGTGATCCGGAGTATTCTTACGTCGCATGTTATACTCAAGATCTCGTGTCGCAGCAGAGTTTCAAAAATCAAACACATGAAGGAAGACTGGTCTGGGATATCGATCAGGCTTCTCATGAGTAATACACTTTCAATAGAGGTCCCTTCTTGAAAGAACTAAAGCCATGGCCCCAAGGTGTTGTTCCAGGCACAGTGGCTTAGATACCGCACGGGGGGGGGGGGTGGGGGGCAGGCTCAATTTTTAAGAATTTTTGAGGATCCTATATTGTAGCACCCTTATACTTAAAGCCCCCTTTAAGGAGCCCTTTGAACCCCGTCCCCGAGCTCCGGGCCGTTCTTCGGTTCCGTCCTGGTTTGGGTTGAAGACAGCGCCGCCCTCGGGCTCCTCCAGTATCAGCTGAAACCTGGGCTCAGAAAACTTATAACCCATAGTACTTGTGAGGGTCCCCTTAAAAGGGATCTATAGGGATTCTACAAGGGTATAGGGTTTAGGGCCGACTTGGGGGTTCATGGGTAGTTATAAGTGGGGTTCTAAGGAGGGTAACTATACTTATGACCCATTCTAGGGGACTTGTAACCCCACTTATAACGTAACTACCGCGTGGAAACTCCCAGGCTTCAGCGGCTTAAAGAGGGCCCAGGAGTCCTGATCTGATAGATCCCTTGAAATTTGATACAGGGGTCCTTGATATATGCGTAGTTGTCAAAATTATGGTCCTTTTTGGGTACCCTACATATTCGGTGCCGTATTATAATAAGGACCCAAAAAGGGACCATAATGTCGACAACTACCCATAGGTATACTTCTTGACTAAGGCCCATCTGACTCGTGTGTGTAATCCACTTCTTGGTGAGATTCCGGGCAATGGCTGAAGCCCAGGCTAGGCCCCGAATCCTTACGGTGTCCCCGTAACCCCTAATCCACCGATCGGATTCTGATCTCTTTCATGATCCGCAACGTTGCTCATGAATAGGTAGCTCTATAAGGCCAGAATGGTGCACACCACCCTAAACCCTAAACCCAAACCTGGCCATCTCGAAAACCCTGGAGCCCAATCCCTGCACCCGAATCACTGGACTCTATCGTGTAGCAAAGCAATAGAAGCAAAACCCGACACCTCTAAAACTCCTAACCCGAATACCTATTACCAAGCGATACAGACTATACTATACTGTACTACACTACACTATACTACTATACCATGCAGAACGATTACCATTCGATCTTAGATGGCTGTCTGAATTGAAGCTTCACTCGGGGCTCGGCTGGTCTGTCGCCTCGCTGAGCTGCTTGGGAAGAATCTCCAGGGCCACCTGACACGGAATCGTTTAGGGTTTAGGGTCCTTAGGGTTCTGGGTTTAGAGTTTGGGGAGTTTGGGTCTTGGGAGTCTGGGATTCAGGGCTTAGGGGGTTCAGGGAGTCAGGGACTTCACGGGCTTTCGAGATCCTTGGAACGTCTATGTCTGTTGTCCGCCGGTGCCTGCTGGCATGTCTCGCCAGGGTTCCAGGTCAGCTCCCCCTGCAGGCACGGCACGAATGCTCGCCTACGGTCTGCTTTGGCTTCAGCGAGGCGAAGGGAGATGAGTAAATCGCACGTTGTGTTGTACTGATTTGGCCGGCGAGCATAAGATCCTTGAGCACCCAGAGTCAGCATGCCGACTGTACAAGCTATACAGCAACAGGGTGGCAGTTTCGCCAAAAGGGAACAGAACTCCGCTTTTGGGTTGCGCCCTGCTATTTGCCCCAGCCAGCTCTGGCGCATGTCCGCCGTGAGAAGCCCGGGCCCAGCAGTTCCTGGTGGCCCACAGGAGATCATGGCTGGAGGCGCTCTGACCATCCAGCCTTTCCGAGGACTCCATCAAAACTGCTGTGGACATGCAAGGCCCGCAGGCTGCAACAGGAGCAAGGCAGTGCATCTAGGAGAATCTGTGGAAGCCTCACGCCGTCGCATCGCACTCGCCCCTCCCTCACAACGAAACCCCCACAAATCCTCGAAGGACTGCCCCTGCTCACCGGCGGCAGGATGCTGCACAATGTATTTGGCAGCTCCTGCTACTGTACAATAACTAACATTACGTAACGGAGGTCCAAAGGCCTCGCAAAGTTTCTTTTCTCCTACGGAGAATAAAAGATCTAACTTTCTGCCTCATGCCCAGGAGAAGCCGTTTTGATGATTGCAGTCGATAAACAGGCTTAACAGCAATCTCCAAGCAGTCTATGGGCAGAAGAATCTTACGCCTACCCCATCGAAGGTGGAAGCAGCCTTGTGTCGCCACCACCTTTGTCAGACAGCCACCAGCCATATCAAAGAAGGCTCTGGCTCACCTCGAAGTGGGGCAGCACTGAAAAGCTGCTGGGCAAGGTCTTGTAGGAGATCTCCGGCCCCCAGAAATCTACGCCAGACTCGAAATTCCTGGCGCCGCCCTTAACTTGCCCTAAACCAAGAGAACCAACCTGACGAAAATGTAGAGCCCCTGACCTCCTAATTGGGAGTTTCAGAAAATTGGGGGTACTACCATATTTTGGGGTCCTTATAATAGGGATCCTACTATCTCGGGTGCTTTTTTGGGTCCCCTGTTTTCGGAAACTCCTACTTCACCCAGATAGTCGCGGCCACGGCCTCATCTTGAGCGCTGCGCCTCGCGCCGCACGGACGGCAAGGCCGGCGCGCTGAGGCCCCGCGCCTTCGGAGGCTCGGAGCTCGTTGAGGCTTTGGGCCGTTGGGCGTGGTTTGGGGCTTCGGGGCCTTGGGTGCTTAAAGGATTAATTTAGTCAGCCCGGATGACGCAGGGCTCCCCAAGATCTTGAGTTGTCTTTTGGATTCGTGGACTTATCGGCTCTGCACGATCGTGTGGACTCTTTGAAAGAGAAGGCCCCCCCAAAGGCTCCAAAGTGCCAGAGGGCATTAGCGGCTTGGCATACCCAGCATTATCATCACGCCATCACCATCATCACTACCAGCGTCATCAGCATGACGACCATCATCATCCTGATAGCTTGTGTCGCAGTTCGACGACAGCAACAGTTCTTGTTAACGGCAACAACGAGCGCTAGAAGTCCGCCCGGCCTTGCAGAAGCCGATGTAGTCCTGCCGGAGGAGTCAGTCCGCTGATGGCAAAGACAGAGCCCCACTTCAGCTACATATATAGCATTTAAAATGTCTATATATATATATATATATATATATTTGTATATACATTTATGTAGAGAGAGAGAGAGATGGATAGATAGGTAGATAGATAGTATGATTTTTATATTGAGTACAACATATACATTATATATACATTTTATATATATATATATATATAAAGAAAAACACAGCTACACTCCCAGAGTCGTCAAGAACATGCTATGGCTATGGGAGTCTTTCAGTTGCCTTACTGAGATTTGCGCTCTCAAGCTGGATGGTGTGCTGGCGTCGGTGGGAGACATACCAACATGAAGGCATGCAAAACTGAAAATAAACCTGAGCAACAAACGACTTGTTCGCTCGTTTATGCAAGCATGAAGCAAAAACGATTCACACAAGCTTTGGGATGTGGGATGCTACTTGGGGTTTCGAGGGCCACTCTGACCCTTTCCTGCTGCACCGAGTGGATGAGCAGCTCCACACCGGTCGCTGCCTTCTCGAAGGAGCGCCTGCTCAGGAGAGAAAGAGAGACACAAGGACAGCGAGTGCGCGAGAGAGAGAGGGGGAGAAGAGAGACAAGAGAGGGAAGAGACAGAAGAGAGAGCGAGAGAGAGCGAGAGAAAGAGAGTCACCGGCAGGGCTGAGCAGCACAACACGGTTTACAACCTGTCATCGGGGCTACGGTAGACTCAGCTATGTTGCTTAGACCTGGCGGAACAGAAAGTCGGGACGTTGCCGTGTTTCACTGTGGTACGATCGTAATCTTCAGAAAACATTAAAATTCAAGTCTGAACTCTAACGGGTCGCACCTGTTGGTCGCGCTGACGCAGAGCATCAGGTCATCTGTGGACTCTTTATGTTCTGGTCCCTCCAAGTACCTGCTGGTCTTGGGTAACTTAGAGCTTGGGGCCTGTAGGGTTGGGAGTTCAGGGCCACTCCGGACCGGGCTCTTAATCGCGATTGAACAGATCTGCGTGGCAATATGGGCCAGCAATGATCGATTAGTATCGTCTATCTCTCGCTCGCTGTCATTATTCATGCATCGCATGACAACGTCTTCCATTGCACTGTGGTAGACCGCAGTGCTTTGCACTGTATCATCCCACGCGCTACTATGTTGTCTATCAGTCTACGTTGCAGTGGCATGATGTGTTCGCTCACTCGATGATTCAGCCCACACCCTGAAGAATTCGAGGCCCCGCACTTGGAGCCGCGACCACGCAGGCGAATCTTCACGGAACCGTCGCCTTCAATGATGCCTCGGTGGTGTCGGAGGCTACATCGCAAATCGCAACATACTGTTGTTTTCTATATTTTCTGCCATGTTATGATCTGTTTTCGATGAACTGGAACCAGCTAGGCTGACTGTTTGAAGACTGCTACGCAAATCACCCTCCTTCACCACTGAGCTGAGGGTTGGAGAAGGACACGCCAGCAACTCCGGGAGTTCACGGATAATTGGCCGCCACGGCACGCTTCATGTTCTCGCCACCCGGGCCAATGATGCGTCTGCACACCTTCTGAGGCTGATTGCACCCACTACATTAAACAAACTACACTAACTACACCGCACCCATAGGAAGCTTCCAGTCTACCGGCTTGGCCTGGCCTGGAAGGTGTAGTCCTCTTCGATGCCCACCTTCACTCGGCAGAGGTACTTGCCTCCTGGCGGGCTTGCTCTTTGCCACACTGACACATCCCCCAACAGGGCTAAAATGCACACCGCCGGCGCTGCCGAGCCTCCGGTCCCTGCTCCACTCTTCTCTTGTCCACGCTTGCCTTGTGGCGAGGAGCTTACAGATGAGGCAGCGAAGGAGGAGGAGGAAGGGCCAGCAAAACGACCACGATGACGACAACGCAATCCACGGCACATCACCGCAACCGCCGAAGCAACATCAGCAGATCTCTTTGAGTCGAGGTCCCCGGCCTTTGGCGGCTCCAGCTTGGTTTCCCGATTTGTTGGGGGACTGTCCTGGCGGGAGTCAGAGTCAGGGATGCTCAAGTCCAAGTGATTGCCCTCCTCCTTCTCTTGTACAGCAGAATCCAGTTTGCCATCTACTTTGGCTTCAGATAACATGAGATAAGACGAGATAACATATGGATGCTCAACCTATCTCTGCAACGTCCTGCGCCGACGGTGCCAGGCTGTTGCTCCGTGCAAGCAGAGCTGCGATTGGCCTGGCAGCGTAGCTCGGTCACTGCGATCCTTATGGTACCCCTGATAGAACCCTTCTGGTATTCGTTATAGTATGCCTCACAGGGTTCCGTGTGGTAGACTTGTGAACTTATGGTAATTAGCCAATATCGAACCCTGACGGTATCGCTTACAGTCACCTTATGGGAACCCTCGTAGCAACCTTATGATAGCCCTTGTAGCATTCCCTATAGAGGATCCTCCTATCTTCGGCTTTGGACCCTCTGACGGCCTGGGCCTGCAGTAGCTGCTTGGTCTTGCTTGGAGGAATCGGCAGTGGGCCTCAGTGATTTCGCGAAGCTGGAGCGGTTCGGGGATCTTCGATTTAGGGTTTTTGATTCGGGGTTTAGGTTGTTTTTTGAACGGCCCTTTTCCTCCTCGCAGTTGAGGGGTTTGGGATTTAGGTTTTAGGTTTTTTTTTTTAGACGGCCCTTTTCTCCCATTCATGCGTCCTAGGGTCTAATCGTTTCCGTCCACCCTCGATCCCTGAAGCCATGCATCTCCAGAGCCCCTCCATGAAACATCAATGAAAGCCACCAAGCCCAAGCTAAATGCAAGTGTCTTCATCAGAATACGTAGAGTTTGGGACATATGACATCTGCTACTGATTCCAATACAACTACATGCGGGACACCTGCGGACCCAGCTCTTCCAGAGCTCCTTTTCACGATGCGACTGTACAAGCATCTGGCTCCTGCCGGAGGTCGTTCGGCCACGGTCCCATCAGGTCTCGTCGTGTCCGGGCACCTCCTCCGGGTCTCTGGGAGCCTCTGCTGGGGAGCGTCTGAGAACTTTTTACTTGAGGTTCCCGTGAAAGCCACAGGACCTACTCAACGTCAGCCTTGAACACTTTCCCCCGGCCTCCTCCCAGAGCGCGCCCGGCGGCACCTCTCCCAAGAGCCGAAACCAGCAGCGGCTGCCCTTCGTGCGGCCCGCCGAGAGCTCCTGCGCACGTCAAGGGGTTTTGGGGATGCAGACCTGAGGGACTCAGGGATTGACGAAGAATGCAGTCTTCTCTGTGTGTGCTGCAATGGTCGAGGCGGCATGGTGGCACGGCAAGTCGTTCACATCATTCGCAGTGGCTCGTATCGCCTTCTTATCACCCTTCACGCTCATAAATACAACATCCACAACATTGGAAATAGTAGCAAGTCACAGAAACGGAGCAGCGGGTGCAACAGCAGTAACCATAAACAGCCCTGCACAATGTACGAAGCCTCACGAACGGGGAGAAAGGCAACCGTAGTGATACTACGAAGTCTCATCGGACTAGTACGAGGTGAAGCACACACCACCAGCCTGATCGCAATAATTCCACCAGATGCCATAAGGTTCATCCGTCTAGTTGCTGGCGACGTTGCAATGGGAGCTTGCAGAAACTAACCGTGATCAAAATAAGTACCACTCATGCTTAAGATGGCAACCAACATTAGCATAGCGACGGCTGTCGTTGTAGTAAGACGCGCTGTGCACAGTAGCAATGAGTCGCGTCAACAGAACCATGATACGAGTAAGCACTGCACCATCGTGCGACCTCTTCATGTAGCAATAAGCGTGATTCAAGAAGCGCTCCCAACACTGCACTAACATCCGCTGACGCATCAAACCCTCAGCCTTAAACCCACCGTTGCCTGGGATCGGAGCTTGGCTTTCGAATGAGTCGCCCGCAGCACATCCATGACGATGACCTCACCCAGGATCTGGGCCATCTGGGCTTTGGGTCTCTAAGCTCTGGGCCCTGGTTTCTGTGGGATTTTTCGACAAAAGAGCCGCTCAGTAACGACTGCAAGGTGAGAAAACCCTGAGTCGAATCGGGAAAGATGCGAGCCAAGTGTCCGGGCGATCTGCCACTGCCCTTTCGCCCCATCGGAGGATGCCTGAGGCTCTGGTCAGAGCTGTCTTGATCTGCGGCACTAGAGGTCACAAGAAGAAGCGCGGCAGCTCAAAAGTTGACGATGTCAACTCCTTATAGCACTGGCAAAGTTGAATTGCAACACAGCACGCTCACGAATGGCTGAAGAGAGCAGTCGAAACTCAGACTTCGTTGCGCTTCCCTCCTGCGTTGAGCCAAGGAGCAGTACACCTCCGGTGACGGATCTCCGGGCTGACTGGCCACCTGCTCAAACGTCACGTCGTGAGGGCTACGGGTTAATGGGAAGACTGTAGCTGTGGGTATTTATGGCATGCCAGCCGCGCAGAATCTCGCAATACAATTTAGGCACTTCCATCGCTTGCTATGCTAGTGTTGGGTCGTGCATGCAGGGTCCTCAACACAAGCAACCGGATTGCAAATGGCATGTCCTTTCTATGCGACTGTGCAAGGTGATAAGCGCTGATAGAATAAAGTACGCTTCGCATGCTACGTTGTAGGAGGGCATACTGTACATAACACCACAAGGGTTCACGCACTTCTAACTTGACCCCGCCTCAGTAGCCGGACCTTCACCCAGCGCCTTCAGTGCTGCCTGCAGGTAGATTCAGGTAGATCACCAACGGAAGGCAGGTGGGGGAGGGAAGACTAGCAGCAGGACGAGGACGAGGCCTGGAACGGAAGCAAAATTTGTCACCCCTATCCGATAGTACTAATGCTTGTCATGGTGATGTGCAGCAAGGCCTCTGGATCAAACAAAAGGCGAGTTTGCTCCACCGGGACATTCTTGTCCTCCAGTGCTCGGATGAAGGCGCACTGCAACTCCACCATTCCTGGGCCCAGACGTGCCCCATGCAAAGCTTCCGAGACATGTCTTGATCCGAGCTGTGCCAAACGGTCAAACTCTCCAATACAAACCAGAATCCAAAGCGCTGGGACACCCAAGTTCGCTGCCAATTTGAAGTTTTTGGTGCTGAGACCCACTCTCTTTAGACCTTGCGTCGGTGGAAAGGGGCCAGCAGCAGCGATTTCAGCTCCGCCCCACGATGGCCTTCCAGTGCCCAAAGCGCCTGGGCAAAGCGCGGCAAAGCCGGGGCAGGAGAACGCAACTAGAATCCGGTAGAGCAAGTCTTGACCTTAGCGCCCAAGGTAGAGAATCGAAAACTCCGTCCCTTCATATGGGAGCTTCCGACAATTAGGGGTTATTTTGGGATCCTTATAATAAGGATCCTACTATTTAGGGTACTGTGTTAGGGTCGCCTATTTTCGGAAACTCCCATATCACGAAGTTTCGCAGCTTGGCCCTGCCGAAAGCACTCCCTCGGCCTCGGCCACTGCTTCGAGCGTTGAAAGGCAGCCCTGTTCAGGCTGCTTCCGAAAGCGGTAGCCGCTGTGGCCGGAGGGCCTCCGAAGAGTGGTTAGGAGAAGTCTTCCGGGGCCATTACGGGAAGCGGGACGTTAGCGAACGTTTTGCACCCGGAGAAGGGCACCAGCTGGGTGGGAGCCTGATCACAGCGCGAGGGACATGCTCGCGCAGCCAAGGAGAGCGCATCACCATGCCCTTGGCCTGACAGCGCTGGGAAAAGCTGGACCTTCATCTAGAGCTTGGGTTCAGGGTCTGTCGGGGTAGGGTTCAGGGTTTAGAGTTTAGAGTTCCGCCAAGTCTCTCTGTTTGCTAACGGCTCAACACCAGGAAACTACACCATCCGGTTGCAGTTCAGACGGGGCCTGCCGCCAAGTGCCGTCGATGAATATCAGAGAGGCTTTCGTGTCCAGGTCCGGCGCATCCTGGAGCAAGCACGATCTTTCATCTGTACCGAGTGGACGTGCTCTGTAGGTGGCCTCCACCGGATCCGTTGTAGACGTCTCCACCGGTGCGAGCTCTTTGGCGTCTGGACCAGGACACAAGAACATAGGCCTTGGTCGATTTGCAGCTAATCGCACCCAGGAGCACATGAGAAACCACTGGTTGGGTTTTTCAGTCAGCCTTGAACTTCAGCAGGGCTGATTCAACTACTGCCAACATCATGGTGCCTCATGTTTCACCCTAAACCCTGAACCCTAAACCCCTAAACCCTAAACCCCTAATCACACAGTGTAGTCTACCAGGGTCCAAGCTGGTGGCCCCCCTCTGCCAGGAGCTCGTGAAGCTCTGGGTCCTCGAATCAGACCAGCCCTCGAGCCGCAGACAGACTCAGCTGCCCCCCCAAAGGCCATCATAGGGATCTGCAGTAGAATAATAGGGATCTGCAGTAGAATAACAGGGATCCACAGTACCATAATAGGGATCTATAGTACCATGATGGGGATGTATGTTACCCTTATGTACCCTTGGGAAGGAGCCGTTGTCCCTGCACCAATGATGGCTTTACCTAGCTTTGCACTCACGATCTAAACACTGCCTGTCAAATTGAACAGAGAGTCCTCGCTGGGCTCTGGAAAGTGCTCGCCTTCCCTGGCAGGTTTATAGAAGCGGCGGCGCTATAGCTTGACCCACCTGCTAGAATATGTAAGCTGCGAGGCAAGCACTCACCCGGACCCTGCCTAATCACCAAGTCCTGGAGGCAAAGCCTAAGCTGCCAGACGGGAACAGTAAAGTGAGCATTGGATCAGTGCTGTCGCAGGAAGAGTTCGTAAAGAGAGACCACAACTTGAAACCAGCCATATGCGAGAAGCTCTTTGCAAATACTTGTGCCTCTCTGGAACTACTGCACGAAGACTCATCGAGGGTTTACAGAGAGTCGTGTCCTACACTTGCAGTCACTAACACGGACAGAAGAACGAAAGCCGATCACCACTCAACGGCCCGGGTACTTCAGGAGCGGCAGGGTGCCCAACTTTCTCTTGATCTCCTTGGGATGGACTAAGATCACGATGCGCGTCCGCGTCCAGAGGGGGCGGTCTGCGGGGAGCACATCACCTTAATGATCTCAACATGGCGGACTCCGGATAATCAAGGATTCGATTCTCAAAATGGCGGGCTCAGGCTTCGACCAGGAAGGGATGACTTTGGATTGCGATGGAACTTGAACTCTATCTACTATTATACGGATTTTGGAGTTTCCTATCATGTATTCTAAAAGTCACATGTGCGCAACGATATCTAGTCATATCCGAGATCTGGCAACATCCAAAACACCATCCGCCTAAGTTGGCCGTGGCACACAGGCACAGCTTCTGCGGACGCAGGCAGCTGTCACACACGGCCTCCCGTCCGAGGGGCTCTAATCACGTCAAGCACCACATGCATGAGCGCGAGCGCTCATGTGGAACCGACCCTGACATATTACCAGCAACGAGCACTAGAAGATAGAATCCGCAGACGAGTTGCGCCTTGAAACTCAGATTGGAGGATGTTCGGTAAGTTCCAGTACAACTGAATCTGATTGTTAAAAAAAAGACACGAAAACGGATTCCGGCAAAACAACATGTCCAGGATCGCACAAAACTGACACCCCGCCCTGGCAGCTCTCGCAGAAGATGCCATGCCGGAAGCGGCGAAGCGTTTCAAGCTTGAGGATCTGGGATTCAGGGAGTTACAGTACATGATCTGGTTCGTTGCTTGGGTGGTGAGCCTTGTCTGGTCCTCCTCGAGTTCTGGCTGTGCTTGGGGCTGCCGGGTTAAGTCATAAGCTCGGTTGATGGGCCAAAGCCCAAGGGCATAGTCCCTCACAAGAGCCATCGAGCACACCAGTTTCAACATGCCGAACAAGTCAAGCACCTGAACATCTGTGGCCTGTGGCAGACACAGAGAATCGTTTAGCTGAGCCCGCAGCCGGGCGCTGCCGGCCTGATTCAGGGCTCTCTAAATCTCTCTTATCCGTCAGCTCGCAGGAGTTACGCGGCCCAAGAGAAAGACCGAGCTTCGAATTGCATTCCCAAGGTTACGTACACGTCAACAAACAGGAAGCTTCATGCCGACGCCGGCTGGGTATGCTCTGGGATTCTCGGCCTTGGTTCACTCTTCTCCTGATTCTCCAACTCCTCTTCAGGCTGCGCCTGAGGCCAGGGGGAGTGCTGCTACCGTACTATTACTGTAGTATCACTGTATATTACTGCACTACAACAACAGAGAGGATAGACCCTGAAGCCGCACCTTTGGCTGCACAGCCGGCTTCGGGGAGGGGGTGGTGGCCGTGGCTGTGGCTGGTGCGCCTTTCCACCATCTGAGAGCAAGATTCCGCTTTCTGTGTGCAGAGGGCGGCCTTGACCGAACTTCGGCCGGACTTGGCAAAGCTTCTCGTAGGCCTTCTCTTTTACGATTTGAGGCAGGCCGGGAAGGGGGCGGGGAGGGGGGCACTGCGGAGTGTGTTGCAGGCCATCGCACCTGACGAAATCGATGCTTCTCGATGAGGTCGTCAGCTCGGTCACAAATGTTCTCGAAGTTGACCAGGTCCACCTTGAAGAACATAGCCCCAACCAAACAAAGAGGCTAAGTTTTGCATCAACAAACCTGCCTTTGACAAGCCCAGCATTTCGTAGGTCGCAGTCTCTCCACGCACATCGCCTCATGTTACACTCTTGGACTTCTCTCGGAGGAAAAATGCTGAGCTGACTTTTCAATATCGTAAGTAATAATAGTAACCATAGCAATAATAGCAATAATAGCAATAATAGTAATACTGGTAATATTAGTAATAAGAGTAATATTAGTAATAATAGTAATAATGGTAATAATAGTAATAATAGACCCCACCAAGCTCCCAGCCATCTTGCCAGCTTAGAACTCGGCCTCTGGGCTTTCAAGGGAGGAAACAGGGACTGGGCGGGAGTCTCGCGATCAGGGAGTTTCCACAAACTAGGGATACCTTATTTTGGGGTCCTTATAACAAGGATCCTACGATTTAAGATACTATATTAGGGTCCCCTATTTTCGGAAACTCCTATCAATACGCTGTACGAACCTTAGAGCAACCGGCCAAGCCCTACAAAGGTTGAGAAGGAGAAGTGGAACCCCATACCAACAATTCTGGAACTCCAAATTGGGAAATCGGATTGGGTCCTGCCTTGATGGGTCTGATATGGCTGAGACCGCAGCTTTGGGTTTTAGAATTTGCAGTAATCAAAGCAACACACTTGCAGCTTCTTGACTGCAGTCCCTTCTTCACGGCTGCAGCCTGAATACAGTGTCTGGCACATCAATCCAAACAGCAGCAGCAGCAGTAGCAGTTGTTTCGAAGGAGGAGGTGGAGGAGGAGGAGGAGGAGAGGCTGCAGTCGTGTTACACCACCGAGGTCCCGGCCCATGGACTTTAGGAATGCCAGCATTCTGCAGGTCATTCCTGGCTTCGACTTCTTTTTCGGGGGATACTCGTGCCACCCCTCCCATGAGAACCGGACCTTGCTGCTGGAAAGGGTCGACCTCAACAAGCGCATCTTTGCTCGGTTGCTGGACGGCGCGAAACTTTGAAAATTCGTGTTTCGGACAAGGAGAAAGCAGACTATGTCAGAAACCGTCATGTGCGGCAGTTTTTCCGACCATGGCAGGCCAGGCACATCGTCGAAGCAGAGCTCGCAGAACTGGCGGACCTCGTCGTGAAGCTGACGTAGCCGGACCTTCGTCACTCCGCTGGCGTATCTGAATTCGACAGTCTCCAGACCGTTCACCTCAACACACCGCGGCCTCGCGGCTGGGTTTACGGAAGCAAGGTCGCCGAGGTGGCTGTGCCTGCGATCAGAAGAGGGTGGACTCTGAACAGGACCCTCAAAGCACCTGAAAGCCCTACACTGGGTGTCGATTCCAACAGTCCCAAACATTAAGTATAATCAGGGCTTTACTGTACATTCAACATCAAGGAATGCAGGATAATAGTAATAATAGTAATAATAATAGAAATAATAGCAATAATAGTAATAATAAATATAGTAATAATAGTAATACTAGCAATAATAGCAATAATAGTCATAATAGTAATAATAGTAATAATAGTAATAATAGTAATAATAGTAATAATGGACCCCAAATCGATACCCAGTAAAGCCCCCAGAGAGAGTCCCAAAAAAGGCCTCCTTGGAAGACTTCCGCGTTCCTGGCGACTCCAAACTCTCCGAGGACAGCGAACCTCGGAGTCGGCCGAGACGTTTGGAAAATTTCTGACTTTGGGACTTTCCCAAAATTAGGGGTACCTTGTTTTTTGGGGGTTTAGGGTTTAGGGTTTGAGGTTTAGGGTTTAGGGTTTAGCGTACTTTCCGAACATTAGGGGTACCTTGATTTTGGGGTACTTGTAATTTTGGGACTTTCCGAAAATTAGGGGTACCTTGTTTTGGGGTGCTTGTAATGAGGATCCTGCTATGTAGGGTCCTATATTAGGGTCCCTACCGTCGGAAAGTCCAATTGGGAGGTTGTAAGGATGATAGGGCGTAGGGCCCTTTTAGGGCTTCGGATTTTCATTTCGAATGTTCTGAACTTTTGAGGTATAGGGTTTAAAATTTAAGGCTTGGGGCTTCGGATTACGGATTTCGGAAGGTAAGGAAGCCTTCTCGTGAAAAACCAAAGCAGAACCCCATGATCTAGGCTTCATACAGCTGTCATGTTCGAAGAAGCAAAGCACTGCAGATCGTGTGGCGCCACGAAACGCAAAGCAGCCCATGACATGCTAAAGTCAAGTGATGTTGCAAGTAAAGCTTGTCCAAGCGATTCCCCATTTCAGTAGAGTTAAGCATGAGCGAATCACTATAAGGCAAAGTGCCTTACTACAAGTCGCAGCATACCAGGTACAGTATACGATGACAGTGTCTTGCGGGCGATGACAGTGACGCTGACGCTGTGGGCAAGGATCAGTTCCGGGATGCTTCTGCTGATGATACTGAGGGCCGCGATAAAGTTGTGCAAGATCAAGATGGCGAGGCTGAGGAGGAGGAGTAGGGTTCTTCCCTGTTCTTGTAAGTGGGGCCAATTCCAGCCCACTGTGCCGATTTGCACCGGGCTCCGAGCTGGTGGACGTGTGGGCCGGGCTGGGCCTGGCAATCGCACAACCAGCAACATCTGTTACCACATGTCTGACGCAGTACTCACGGAAATTTAACTATCTACCGATCTGTCCATCCAGCTACCTATGTACCTAGCCTCCCACCCACACCCCAACCTCCCTACCTGCCTGCCCATGCCTATCCTGTAAGCACCTTCTTGTGTGTGTGCCTTTATGTGTCTTAATATGCGTTGCCATCAATGTATCTGATAAGGGTGTATATACACACATGCATACATTACTTGGCATCAGCATCTCCACTGCTCACTTGCATGTGTTGCACCATATGTCTGCTGCATACAGTTCTACAGGAACACGGACTGCTGTCCATTGTTACACCACCTTTGGACTGCGATGAGCTACCAACCCCAGACCAGGCTAGAACCCCCAAAGCCCTGAAGCCTCTTAGAGCAACACTTGAATTGTGAAACCCGTGAAGGAACCTTGTCAAGGAAGCCTTAAGAGAAGCCATCGGGCCCTTACAAAAAACCCTAAGCCCAAAAGCCCAAACCCCTCACACAAGCGCAGTAAGCCCGGCGGATGGGCTCAGGACATGGCTCGCACCTCAGCTCGACGACTCACGACTTCGGGCTTTACACGTGAGATTCAGACAAGCAGGGAGTACTAGTCGCAGCAGCAGCAGCAGCTGCAGCCACTAGTAGTAGTCGTAGTAGTCGTCGTAGTAGTAGTCGTAGTGTAGTCGTAGTCGTAGTCGTAGGAGGAGGAGGAGGAGGAGGAGGAGGAGGAGGAGGAGGAGGAGGAGGAGGAGTCACAATAAAAATAATACCAACACGAATAACCATCATTACCATCATCATCACATCATCACCATCATAACAGTAATGATAATGAGAATGATAATGATGGTACTGATAACAGTAGTCACTCATAATAAGTAGTCATAACAATAGTATAATGATGATAATAGCGAGTCACAAAGTAGCAGTTATGATAAATATAGTAGTAATACTAATGACAATAATAAACGAATAACAGCAATGATAAGAATAACAATAAGAAGAATACTAACAACAATAACAAGAAAAACCATAACAATAATCACAATAATCATCATCATCATCATCATCATCAAACGAATTACAGTAACAATAATAACAATCGTGACAACAACAGCAATAATATCACAAATAATCAACAATACGGGTGGTTGTCAAAATTATGGTCCTTTTTTGAATCCCTAATCTAGTATGGCACCTAATATTTAGGGTACCCAATAAAGGGACCATAATTTTGACAACCTCCAATATGAATAAAACTAATCGGAACAGTAATAACAACCACCTACGCTGGCGCTCCTGCACCTAAGCCCGCGGCATGGAGTTGGGGCTGTCGATCTCAAGCGCATGCACCTGCAGTTGTGAGCGTTCCACGCACGCTGCATGCAGTAAGATACGCAGGAGAAATACTGATAGCACTTCGAGCAATGATGATCGCGGTGAGAAGTCGGCCTGGTCACTAGGGAAGACAGTGAACGAAGCTCATCTTTGGCCATTTGAGAGTATCGTCGCGGCTGTTGGTGTGGACGTCGTCGTCGTAGTAGCTATCAACATCTTTGTTTTTGTTGTCTGCCCGTAAGTGTGAGCAGCATTTTTGGGCAGAGTGATACGAACCTAGATGTCACCTCATGGAAACTGGGTGGCAAAGCTTCTTGGATCATGTGTACCGTTTCCCGAAAGAGTTGCTGCATCGTGCACACGCCGCGACCTCCTTGGACTTTTCCGTGCGAAGTCTCGGCTGCTGCCTCGAAGTTTAGCTGAGGCTCAGGGCAGAACATGCCGGAGCTTCAAGAACTCCCCCCAACATTTTTGATCGAGGCGGCTGCAGGAGATTATCTTTTTCTGAGAACTAGTTCACATCTTGAAGCCAAGGTTCAGGACTTGCCGGTTGCCAAGGAGGCTCGGCGGCAAAGGGCCCTTCCAGCCCTGTCAGCAGGATATGACTTTGGGCATTGCAGCAACGGTGGAAGGTGCATCTGTCCTCTGAGGCGGAGCATTTTGCAGCGCACGAGCAATCACCGCATGCACCATTTATCTGCGAGACCTGCATCACCCATCATGCACCTCAAGCGAAGCCCTGTGACAGTCTGTACTTCCGACGAGGCCTGCTGAGAGAGGCTTGCCTGGATGCTTCTGTACATCACGCTGTGTTCGGAGTATTGCTGGATGCTTAGATCCAGTTCGACAGGATCTGCAGGCATCATCTACACCTGTACAATCAGATGCCGTGTGTTGCAAAAGCCTACCCTGCCGGTCTTTACAGCCATGACAAAACGGACACTGGCGAAACTAAAAGATGTCGTCAATGACCTCGGCCGCGAGAAAGCCGCCCGCGAAGCCAGCTAAGCCAGCCATACCTGCGCTCATGCCACCACCACCACCACCGCCGTTGTTTGCATAGTTGCCACCCTGGTAGCCTTGGTAGGTGGGGCCAGGCTGAAGGTATCCACCGCCATAAGACGGGCCGTAGGCTGGTTGACAGGTTGGAGCATAGGCTGCACCGGCTGCACCTGCTCCATATGGCGCATAGGCCTGACCATAGGGTTCCTGACCATAGCCAACCGGCTTTCCCTGCACAACATGACCCGGCTGGTATCCACCTCCATAGCCGGGCTGCGCAGTGCCATACTGCGGCACATAAGGTGGCCGAGAGCTCTGCAAGCACCCCATTGCTAACTCAGCAACAGCTGCGTGGAGTCTGTCGTGTGCTTGTCTCGAGCCTTGATGATGCTGCCACGGATATGGGAATAGTATCACCCATGGCCCCGATGTGGCTGACACAAGTTCTGTTGCAGGTCTTTACGGCAAGCGACCCTACACCAACTCTCTGCCTCGGGCACCAGCCACCTGCAGCTAATCTTCGAGCGCAACTCAGATTTTCAGTCTCGGAAAAAACTCGACTGATTGAATGTCCGTGCTGTACAGACCAAAGCACGCAGCAAGACACGTTGACAGACACTGTTGGCTGTCATTCGCAAGGTACTGTACAAAACCTGCGGTGAAAGACGTGCTGGCTTTACATCGGCACATCATGTCAATTCGCATCGGCATCTTCACTGGACATGCAATGGCCAATATTGAGGTCAGAAGATATCGTCAATGACCTCGGCCGCGAGAAAGCCGCCGGCGAAGCCAGCTAGGCCAGCCATACCTGCGCTCATGCCGCCACCACCGTTGTTGGCATAGCTATAATTACCACCATATCCGCCTTGATAGGCGGGGCCAGGCTGGTAATATGCACCAGCATAGGTTGGACGGCACGAATCACCGTAATAGACCGGGCTCCCCTGGACAACCTGCTGAGCACATGCTTGGCCAGGATGGTAACCGGGCTGGTAACTCTGGTAGCCGTGCATGCCCCCATAAGCCTGGGAGCCATATTGCGGCACATACGGAGGTCGCGAACTTTCGCAGCAGCCCATGTTGAATGCTAGAAGCAAGGAATAGTTAGACTCTCGTGTTTGGGCCTCGATGGCTGCAGATTCTCATGCTACAAGTACTCATGCAAAAGCTTACGGGGCAGGCATGAGTCAGGCATCAAGACGCTCAATCAAACTAGAAGACAATTGGCCCGAAAGCATCATCAGCGAAGAGTGTTGCGCTACGTCATAGAATCCAGTGTATAGGGTCATAGTCACCGAGTCAAAAGCACGGAGTCACAGAGTCGGAGTGTCACATACAGTCAAAAGTCGTACAAGTCATAGTTCATAAAGTCATCGAGAAATAGAGTCGAGTACATGTCAAGCACAAGTCATAGTTCAGAGAGTCATAGAGTTATATAGAGTCATAGAGTCACAGTGAGACAGAATCATAGAGTCATAGTGTTATAGAGTCATAGCGTCAGAGTGAGAAAGAGTCATAGAGTCATGGAGTCATCTATGTACCACGCACTTGACTTGATGTAGTTCACTCTATGAACACTTATGTTCAGGTTTAGCGGGTTTAGGGTATAGTCCAACATGACGCAGAAGTCTTCCTTTCCTAGCTCCGGAACCTCACTATATAGACATCCCTGATTACTGTGGTTTCAACGTGACTCTATGACTCTATGCATGGTCACTTTATGTCGCAGCAGTAGTAGTAGTAGTAGCAGTAGTAGTAACGGCAGTACCAGTACTAGTAGTGATAGTAGTGGTAGTCGTAGTAGTTGTAGTAGTAGTCGTCGTCGCGTAGTCGCAGTCGTGGTCGTAGTAGTAGTAGTAGTAGTAGTTGTAGTTGTTGTAGTTGTAGTTGTTGTTGTGGTACTAGTAGTAGTAGTAGTAGTAGTAGTAGCAGTAGCAGTAGTAGCAGTAGCAGTAGTAGTGGTAGTAGTAATAGTGGTAGTAGTAGTAGTAGTACTAGTAGTAGTAGCAGTAGTAGTAGTAGTAGTATTCTTTTGTAGTAGTGGTAGTAGTAGCAGTAGTAGTAGTAATAATAGTTGTAGTAGTGGTAGTGGTAGTAGTAGTACTAGTTCGAGCTCGAACACTCGACAACGCCAATTTCTGTGAAGGGTTGCAAGTTTCACCTCAATGCACATCAAAAGTAATAACTTTGCCTCGCGTTCGAACACTCGACAACGCCAATCTGTGTGAAGGGTTGCAAAATTCATCTCAATGCACATCAAAAATTGCAACTTTACCTCGCGTTCGAACACTCGACCACGCCAATCCCTGTGAAGGGTTGCAAAATTCATCTCAATGCACATCAAAAAATGCAACTTTGCTTCGCGTTCGAACACTCGACCACGCCAATCCCTGTGAAGGGTTGCAAAATTCATCTCAATGCACATAAAAAATTGCAACTTTACCTCGCGTTCGAACACTCGACCACGCCAATCCCTGTGAAGGGTTGCAAAATTCATCTCAATGCACATCAAAAAATGCAACTTTATCTAGCGTTCATGCATTCGACCATGCCAATCCCTTGAAGGGTTGCAAAATGCCAATCCCTGTGAAGGGTTGCAAAATGCAATTCAATGCACCCAAACCCTGTGAAGGGTTGCGCGGCGCCCGCAAAATGTGTAACTTTACCTCGCGTTTGAACGCCCGAGGAGGCGAATCCCTGTGAAGGGTTCACGGCGCCCGAAAAATGTGTAACTTTACCTCACGTTTGAACGCCCGAGGAGGCCAATCCCTGGGAAGGGTGCGAAGCGCACATAAAAATGTGCAACTTTACCTAGCGTTTGGGCGCTCGAGAGTTCCAATCCCTGGGAAGGGTTGCGCCGGGCTAAAATGTGTAACTTTACCTAGCGTTTGGGCGCTCGAGGAGGCGAATCCCTGGGAAGGGTGCGAAGCGCACATAAAAATGTGTAACTTTACCTAGCGTTTGGGCGCTCGAGGAGGCGAATCTCTGGGAAGGGTTGCGCGGGAACCCTAAAATGTGTAACTTTACCTAGCGTTTGGGCGCTCGAGGCTGGGAAGGGTTGCATTCCCGATGGACGACGACGGTGCCACCCCTGGCTTTAGAAGAGAGTTTTAGATACCGAGATGTAGAGAGTATGTAGAGAGGTAGAGAGTAAGTCAGAGAGTAAGTCAGAGAGTAAGTCAGAGAGTAAGTCACAGAGTAAATCACAGAGTAAGTCAAGAGTAAGTCACGAGATGTAGAGAGTATGTAGAGAGGTACAGAGTAAGTCAGAGAGTAAGTCAGAGAGTAAGTAAGTCAGAGAGTAAGTCAGAGAGTAAGTCAAAGAGTAAGTCACAGAGTAAGTCACAGAGTAAGTCACAGAGTAAGTCACAGAGTCATAGAGTAGTCAAGTGAGTAAGTCACAGAGTTCTCAAGTTCATAGAGTCATAGAGTCATAGAGTAGTCAAGAGTAGTCAAGTTCGGTCTTATAGTCATAGAGTCATAGAGTCATAGGGTCATAGAGTCGTAGACTCAAGTGTCAAGTCATAAGGTCATGTGCTCGGTTCTATGTTTGTCATCTATGTACTTGTCTACCCGGCTCCGCACGGAAGAACCCTTCGCGACGCTTTCGGGAAAACTTGCGAAGTACAACGCATTGTGAATGCTTGGATGTGACGATGTGCAACAATATCCGTTTTCTGCGAAATAACTTCAACATCAGGTTTAACCCGGGTAGCAACGGCGTGTCCAACTGAGCTAGGCCTTGCCTTTGCTACCTGGGGTCGCAAGCCGGTCAGCAAGCTCGCACTTCTGCGAGGCTCGGCGAAAACTGCTTACGCGAACTACAACTTCAAAACTTCACTTGCAGATCTCGTGCTTTGCGATGCTTCCTACCTACGTGCGACATCTACCACCTGCAACTTGCGCGACATGACCTGTAAACCCTAGCCACCGTCTGTGGATGGAATTCTCTGTACAGGGCACTGGGCGCATCAGAATAATCTCAGAAGATGTCGTCCATGAGCTCAGCAGCAAGAAATCCCCCAGCTAGGCCGGCAAGGCCAGCAGCGGCGGGGGAGATGCCCTGCCCACCGCCATTCTGATACGGGCCTGGGCCATATCCAGGGCCGTATCCACCATAAGCTGGCCCGCCGTACGGGGGCCCATAACCCGGTCCCCCGAATCCGGGCTGGCAGTAAGGACCTTGCTGGTATGCGGGGCCGTACGGCCCTTGCTGGTACATTGGCCCGGGCATGCCTGGCTGCGCAGGCTGGGCCCAATAATTGTTGGCTTGCATGGGGCCGTTGTTGATGGGCCGGCCCTGTACGACATGCTGCTGCGGCATTCCTGGATGATGTGGGCGGCCATATCCTGCTGGGCCAGGAGCATGCGGCATGGGCCCACTTTCGCAGCAGCCCATGGTGGTGGGGCCGCCAACTATCCGGACATTGAGATGCCAAGCTGCCGGACAGATACAATCAACTGTAGTGGGGCTCATTGGAGAATGAGGCGATCACAAGAAAGCACGCATATGATCTGTCTTTCCAATACCTCATACCACTCCGGCTTCACAGGGAGCCTTTCCTGAGATTACCTATTGCTTAGATCCACAGCAAGAGTGCAGAAATCACTGAAGCGACGAACCCGCCTTCAAGGAAATCGGCTCGGCTGACTCGGCCGGGGTGAGATCCATGGAAGGCCTGCCGTCATCTGTATGCCCCATACTCGACCAACTTTTATCGTGCACCACCCGCTACGCAGCAAGATGATGCCAAAACACAAGGAGCCTTTCGCATCGCCGTGCCCGCCTCCGTCGAGCACATTGCATCAATTGCACTTTGGCCTTCTCCAGGAGGGCCTCGGCAACTGTGCGCTCTGCAGCCATGCACAAAAACAAGAACGAGCTGATTCTGGGTCTGGGCGGTGAGAGCCCCAGGCTAGGCTTAAAGAGCTGGCCAGCATTGACAGGGCCATCTTTGGAAGACCTTTACCTCGAATGCTGCAGCCGTCGGTAGGTACTTGGGTTTGCGGGCGGACGGATCCGCGGCCTTCCTGGGATATCTCGTGGAGTCGCGAGCGTTCGGGCTGGGCGCCGAGCAAACGTCCTGGGGCTGTCTGTCACTGAGGTCGTTGGAGTAGACTGCGCCATTGCCTGGATGAAAGAACCGTCTTAAATATCACTCCACAAGAAACCGCTCTGGTTGCCCTAGCCGAAACGGAGACATGACAAGGCCCGGGCAAGCTTCTCGGTCAGAAGGGAACTGACGTGAGCGACGAGACGTTCTAAAAGGGCCGCTCGGATCAGAACCTGCGCTGGATACCTTCTCCGCGCAAGTTAGAAAACTTCAGACGTCAGAAGCTCTGCGGAACTGCCGGTTTGAGCCAAAGTTGAGAGAAGATACACACAACATGCCTGTCCTAAACCGACCGAAGCTACTACCCAAACAACACAACTGACGAAAACACTCAGGATGCAATGATATCATCGTCGTTCTCCTCATATCTTGCTTATCACCACCCCACAAGGACCTGCGTCTCCACGAAGTCGTAGCCCGCAACGGCCGACAAGCCCTCGGTGTGGTACCTGCACTCTGCTGTCCGAGCTTACCTTCATGTGACAGTAGTGAGATATAGGGACTTTGAGCTTTCCACAGCACAGGTCAAAACGATCATCAGAGTACGAGTTCATGCTTGCGGCTCTGGTCTCCGTCGCTCCGCAATTCAATATTACCCATCTGTCGCACCAGATATCGAACTTAGACTTGGCATTCGTTGCAATGCGGATGCACTCAAAGCAACGACAGGGCACTTGCAGCTAACTTTGCCCTGGCAGCCGTTCTTTCGGAACACGGGCACCTGAGATCTGCAAGCGCCCTACAGCCAAAGCGACAAAACAAGTAGATTAGCTAACATAGATTTCGCCTGTAGCGTCTTATCCTGTAGTGTGCTATTTCTGTATGTATATATATATATATATGTATGTATGTGTATATATACATATATGTATGTATGTATGTGTATATATATATACACATACATACATCTGTTTTACGTACATGCATGCATGCATATGTGTAGACGTGTATATACATGTGTGCATGTATATGTGTGTGCGCGTGTGTGTGTGTGTGCGCATTTATCTACCGAGTTGAGGGCATGGTGGGGCTATCAAATACACGTTTGCACCTGAACCTCTATACATGTACCTGTGTTCATTTCTGCTGTTGTGTTTGATTGCATGCTTGTCTGTACAAACAGGTACATAAAGGAATCGTAAGGATTTAGGTGCACACATAGAAAGACCGTACTTAGGTAAATATGACCATCCATCCATCCATCCATCCATCCATACATGAATCCAGCCACGCAGCATGACACCTAAATACCATACATACGTACATGCATACATTTCTGCATACACACATTCGTACACCGCCACTGCCACGACCACCACCACCACCGCCGCCGCCGCCACCAGGACTATTGGCTTCTGCAACCCTCGCATTCATCCTAGCTGCTTTGCGCTTTTGTAGGAACCACGATTGACAACTAACTAATTTTATGCGTGCTGCTAGGTGGATACATGCATAGCAAGGTGATGGGCAGGTTGGCAAGTGCATCTGAGTTGAATGCCATGCGACGACACAATATCTACCATTGGTTGGTTTATCAAGACTTTTACTCTATTACTATTATTTCTACTATTACTTCAATTACTATTATTTCTGCTATTACTGGTCTTACGATAATTACTAACTACTAATGCTGGTATTACGATTGTTACTACTAGTACTACGGGAAGTCCTGGTATCAGCACGCAAACCCAGGAAAGAAGTCAACTCTCCGAGGTCGGTGCAGCCACATCCCGTCCTGTGGCGCAACTGCCGTCACTAGGGAGTTTCCGAAAAGGGGTACTATGAGGATCCCTTTAAAGGGGTCTTTCAGGGATGTATAGAGTCTCCGAAAATGAGGGGTACCTTATTTGGGGATCCTTATGACAAGTATCCTACTGTTTAGGGATACTCTATTACAGTTAGGGTCCCCTTTTTTCGGAAACTCCCATTCGGGTGAGGCTTCGAACACAGACTTTCTAGGGTTGCTCATGATTTGTCCATCGAGCCAGGCTCGTCACAATGAATCCGCTGCAACGTCCTTCCAGGCCACTGGACACATTGAAGCTGTCATCAAAGAACCTGCGCTTGGTCACTGGACATGAAGTGTGATGCACGACTTCTGCATACTTCTGCAGTGACGGCATGTTCCCATGGGCATGTCGGTCTGGGGATCTGACGTGATGATGCCTGCATCATTCTCGTATGGAACGCCCTTCTCATTCAGGATCACCTGGAGTTCCAAGAATAGCAATATGCACAGACAACTTGCAGATTCAACATGCTTCTTCTCCTACCACTGAGCTGAGGCCGGCACACCCGGATCGCGGAAGCCAAGGGAGCACTCATCCTCACAGCCGTGAACGTGCATGCCCAGCGTCATTGGATTTGCCGAAACTCGGCCACCGTCCACAGAAAGCGCTGCCACAGGTAGAAACTCTGGCACGATTCGTCTGTCAGCACACACTCCCCCTCACCCCGCCACGAGCAAAAGGCCTTCAGCCCGGCAACATCGAACGTCCAAAGCATCAAATTTTTACGCCATCCGCATAAACGATATAAATCCCAAGCCCCGGAACGCCAGGAGCAAAGACCGGGGAGGGGGCACTCTGGAGGGATCCACTTGTCTCAGACCTCGGAGCGCAGAGCTCTGGGGCAACCTGGAATTCGGGGCTTGGTTCAGCGTGCTCAGGGTGCTGCCCTTCTTCCGGCAGCTCCGGATAGTCCCTGCTTCTCTTGAGCGCGTGCCGCCTAGGCGCAGGGTTCAGCCGCAAGACGCAGACGAGGTCCCTCGGTCACACTCCAAGGCCGCAACCATACCATCCTGCTTCGAGCCCCAGGTTCTGCCAGAGTGGCTAGCGGAGCCTGAGGCAGGCGAGCTAGCGACATGGAGCGCGTGACCATAAATGGTGCCGCGTCGCCGCGTCGCAGGCCCCCCACCCCATCCCGCCCCCAAGCCAGGCCTCTCGTCTAACCCACAACACAAGGAACCATAGGGGCGGGGTAGGATAACCCACAACACAGGGAACCACAGGGCCCCTTCCCCTCGCCCCTCCCCTTCGACACAGATGAGAATGATGGCGATGATGTTGTGCACAATGACGTTGATGTGCTATTTCCAGTGTGGCTGTTGGTGGTAGCTCTGCTTTTAAAATGCCCTGGGCTTGGGCACTGCATGTTCATTCCTTTATCTAGTTGAAAGTCGTGCTTGGCTGGTGATGTTCTTTCGAAAACTGGATGGACCGGTGTCATTCCAAGCCAAGTTTCGGTTGGGTTCGTTCAAGGTCAGCTCGAGCACGTGTTTGAGTGATTTTCATTCGGGACTCTTGAGCCTTGCAATTGACCGGAGGAGAGTGCAGGTGGGGATCATGATCACCATCTTCGTCATCATCATCATCATCATCATCACCATAGTATTAGTATTCATCACTATCAGGGGCTTTGGAGCAAAGGGGCGCAGCCAACCGCAACCACAGCAGGGGGGAGGGGTAAGAGAGAACCCACACCACAGGGAACCACAGGGGGGAGGGGGATACCATGGTGTGGGGGGAGGGCAGGCCTAGCAGCGCCGCACCATATCTGCCCAAAGAAGCCCCAAATCGACCAGATGCAGGCCTTTCCGTCGGAAGCCAGTGCAACCGGCTTTTCGATGACGGGTTGTCGCCTGAGCTTCACCAGTTGGTGTTTGGGTTACAGAAGTTGGCCGAATTGAAGTCCTCCGTTTTGGGTCGGAAGCAAGAAGAAGTACTGTGAAGGGAACTCCCGGAAAATCTTTAAGGCCTGAAGGTAGGGGATTTCCGGATTCTCAACAACAAGAAACCTTTCCAGTGCAAGTCAAAACATTGCAAGACAATTCAAGGGCGAGACTGACTGCAAAACGTGCACGAATGACTACGTACCACAAAATGATAAGCGCTCGATATAGGCGGCAGAGACGTTTTGCAACAGCCAACCGGTCACTAATCGTGAAGACAACGACACCACCACCAACACCTACACAGCAGCAGCAGCAGCAACAACATGAAGCAGCTGGCATCATGGCAGTGCAGCAGCCGGGGAGCTGGATGCTCGAATAACGCAATAAAGCCTCAACCCTAAGCTCCGTACCCTTAACCCAAACCTAAGCATCCCTAAACCCCCTAAAGTTCGAAAGGATCTCGCAGGAAGTTCTCCCTGCCATAGTTTCAGGCCTGATTCCCGAGAACCAGCCGATGTCGGTGAGGTAGGAGACCTAGGAGCTTTCCCGAATCCCAAGAGCAGGTTTATACTTCTGACTTCTGACTCTACGATCAGGATACTACGGGATACTCTCGAGTTATTATACGGTTAGTATAAGGTTACTATAAGTCCAATTTTGCGGTAACCATCAGGGTCTCGACTTGCACAGTTGCAAAAGGCAGGAACAGATGTAGGTGACACGTCCAACTAGGCTCAACTTTCTACTGCGAGAGCATTAGGAGCAAACCAAACCAACAAGTAGCTCATAAATAAATGTAATGTTGCACTGTGTCTAATTAGGTGACATGCTTCAATCCATTTGTTCGGCGGCTCATTCGTTTTATTTGCACCGTGGTAATCCGTGTTTTTTCGGCCCGCGGACTTTGTTTGGTTTGCTTTGTCCTTTCTGCTGATGGGACCGCTGCAACATTAAGCTCCTAAGACCATAGACCCCGGTACGCTCTTGCATGATGTACAGGACGGCCCCGGGAATCATGGAAGACGTGACATCTCAGTAGCAAAAAATACGCGCAGATATCTTCAGAATTTTCTCCGGGAGCGCATTGAGATCACAAGGGGTCTGGGGCAGCATTTATGGATGTAGGGAGGGCTTGGACAAGGGCCAGAAAAGGCTTTCGGTTGTGGATGTCTCGGGTTGTGCTGACATGTCCAGACAGCAGACAGTGCCCATAGTTCAGCGACCGGTGAACTGCGGCTTCAGAGTGAACACCCAAGCCATGCACCGTGATCAGCACTGGTAGCCAAGCCAGGGTCAACAGCGCCTGACATCGGAGGATTACTGCGGCTTCAGGCGTTAGGCCAAAGAGTGCGGTCTGTACCACGATAACTGAAAGCTCCATGGACCTCGAGGTTCGAATCGCGAGACCGACAAGGGACGGTTTTGATGATAGGTGGCAACACGAAAACAGCTCTGCAAGAAAAAAATCAGAACAAGAACGGCGCCGGGTCTACACTTTTTTTGGCTCGTAACCTTTCAAAACCCTCGCCGGACCTCCCAGAGCTCCACGACGTTTGGCGAGTTCACCTCTTTTCGCAGTCGGGTTCAAAGGAGAGGTCTGTGAGCTTAGGCCTAGGCTACAGTGGCTACAGTAGACATGTAGGGATTCAGGGGTTCCGGGGGCATCAGAGTTCGTGATGTGATCGGGTCTGACAGTCTGGGAGGGTTTCGGGCTTGGCACAGGGGCTGGCATCGCTTTCAGAGTCACAGTCTGGAGTACTTCCTGGCCTGTACAATAACGACCAGCCAGAGGTAGGCGAAGATGGAGAAGCCTGCTGTGACCCAGAAGACACCTGCATCAGGCTAGCTGACTTACTAGACTGATAGAGTTGCCAGGAGCTGCAGTAATCCTCAGAATGGCAGTCTTCGCTTCAGCACGAAGACCCGGCAAGACCCAAGGCCCAAGGCTCCCAGCATCTCCCAGCACTGCAGCGCTGCTGTGTTTGATGCGAAACATGGGGCGATTCTGTACACATCCTCCGCAGCCGAGACTTCTCTGTACAGCCTCTCTGCGTGGCAAGGGTGGCAAGTTGCTGTCCTGCTTCACTACCATGAGTTATGTCCCTGTGAAGCGAAACAGGCCGAATAAGATCAGCGTCAAGGCTTTCGCCTTGCAAACTCAGCACACATCTGCGCTGTAGTAGACTTTCAATACTTGGGACACGCTGGCTCTACAAACTGCACATTCCTTCAGCTTCTGGCCACAGCTTTGGCAGGCAAAGATGTGCCCACAAGGCACCATTACCACATTCGCGGCTTTGTCCAAGCAAACTGCGCAGCGGGATAGGTCCGTGGTCGTGACCACAACGCTTTCCTGGACAGGCTCGGTTGCAGGTCCAGAGTCCTCCTGCAGATGCTTGGAGCCTTCATCGGCTGCGGCTGCCTGCGCCTGTGCCTGTGGCGGCTCCTCGAAACCAGGCACACCCATGGTGTGGTAATGGCGCCAGAGTTCTTGCTTCGAGGCGAAGGACTTCCCACATGTCTTCGCTCTGCAGCGGTGCAAGCCCGACTCTGGCAGAGCATCTGGGCCACCGGGAAGTGACAGCTGAAAGTGCGCCTCGTGGTGGCCCTCCACGAAGCGGTCCTTCCAGGCGACGGAAAGCATTTTCGAGAGTTGTGTCGAGGTCCCGTTACCTGACTTATCCAGTAATTCGCTTTCTCAGCATCCTTCTAGCGTCCTCCTAGCAGGCGCTTTAAAAAAGTGTTTTTGATGGGCACAGATTGAAGGTCTAGAAAGCGGCTGACTTTGTCATTGAGTTGCTTCTTCTCCCAACAGTATATCCAATGACCAGCTGCAGCGTACAAGTGTACCAGGGCAGGCCCTCCAAAATAACAACGCTGGCCTACGGTAAGTTTCAGGTGCAAGCAAGGTCCTTGTCGATCATCTTTCGCAAGTGGGCAAAGAGTGCCATCCGGCTTGGGAACTGTCGCTGGCAGTAGTAGCACAAAGTGCCATCCAAACGTCGCGAAGGGGGCAGAGATGGGAAGCCCTGGTGCTGGGCCTTCTCCGCCGCTTTTGCTCGGGCCAAGGCCATCTCACGCTCTCTCTTGCTGGAGGTGTTGGGCCGGGCTGCGGGGCCGGCGCTCTGTGCACCGATGAGGGCCAACTGCTCAAGGGCAGCGGGGGGCAGCGCCGGACCCTCGGATGCCGCGGGCGGTGCCGGAGCCGCTTTCCAGGAGGCCAGGTTGCTTTGGACGTACTCCACGAAGACCTCCAACTGCTGCAACGCCGCCTCCTCGTCTCCGCCACGCTGCATCCCCAAGGCCGCCCAAAGATCCGACAAGGATCCCAAGCCACCTTCCCTCGCTGCCTCAACCAAGTCTGCCCGCTCTGCCTTCGGCAGGCTGCCAGCACAACGACTATACTTCTTGTCCATCTCCTGCACCGAGAGCTTTCCAGGACCAGCCTGGAAGAAGGCCAGGATGTAGCTGAGGCGTTCCAGCAGAGCGCGGTTCTGGGTGAAGAGGTGCTCCGCGCGCTGGCGGATGGGTGCCTTGGCACTCATCTTGGTGATGCTCAGCAAATGGACGAAGAGGCGCCGGACGAAGGCCTCGCGAAGGAGGGACCAGGGAACTGCACAGAGGGACGCACCCAGCAAAAGCTCCTCAAGATCTGGCCACTCAGAATCACTCTTTGGACAGAAGGGCTGCTGGATCCACTCGAGCACTGATTGATAGAGGAGCTCATAGCTCTTGCGGAAAGTTGCCAGCAGTTTGATGGCAACCTGGTGCACCGCAAGGTAGACCCGAACGGCTTTCTCCATGTGTGGCGCAAAGTTCCGGTCTCCTTGGAAGACATCCACGACGATCGCTCTTAAGATTCGCGGGATGGCCTTTCGGATGCAGACTGCAACACGGGCCTCGTTCACCTGACCGTTGGGCAAACGCAGGGCATCGTTCCTTCGATAGAAAAGAAGGCTCAGCTGTGACAGGATGTTCCGTGGGAAAATTCGGGAACCATGTGATTCTTCGATGTAGAAACTCAGCCGGCTCGTGCATAAGCGTCGCTTGAATGATGCCTCGGCACCTTCCCGAGTGACACCTGCGTCGGCCTGCTGTGCAAAGTACTGGAAGTTCACAGCATTGTACTGCCTGTCCATATCAAGTACCCCACGGTCGGCCGCCGGAAGAACTGCTCTCGCTGCATTGCCTCGCACACCATCGTTGTAAGCATCCATGTCAAATGCAGGGCCGATGATCACTTCCATAATGCCCAGCTGAGGGTCGTCGCCGAGCTCCCCTGGATGCCCCTCCGCGTCAACAGCCAGCCTGTCTTGAGCTGTCTCAAACAGGTCTTCCAGGTCTTCCAAGACTTTCTGCATCTTGCCATGGTTGCTGGAAGCTGTGCTCATCATGTGATACACGAACCAATGGCGGCTCCTCTCTGGAATGGAGAGGTTCTCAAAGCTATCCACGCGATTCACAGCGGCTCGCATCGTGGCTGCATCTGGCCTCGCCAAGACGGGCTCGCATCGCTCCCAAAGCCCGAAGAGATCGCTACGGAGTTCCACCACCCCCGAGAAGTAGGATTCGTACACTGCGAACTTCTGCGCAAGCTCTGCGTCACCTCTCGGCTCCGTCTTTAGCTGCTCCAGTGCCCTTCCAACATCGTTCCCCGACAAGAAGTCGTGCTTCGCGTCGTTCGCATCCGCAAACGCATCTCCTTGAAGGCCCTCGAACATCTCGCGCTGCACCGCCGCAGATCGGCCTTTGAGGCTCGAGACCTCCATGCGCAGGCGCTGCAGCTGCTCGTCGCTGGCATCTGAAGACTCCGCTTGGAAGGGCAGATTTGCCAAGGGTGGGGGCTCCACCACGGGATAGACCTCATAGTCGCGCTCGAACTTGGTGCCGCTGTGGTCCATGGCTGCCTTCCTTTGGGTGTCGTAGCGCCGGGCTTGCTCCTCCTCAAGGAAGAGCCGCTGCTTCTCCCTCTCAGAACAGTAGCGCGGAGCGTGGTAGAGCGCCACACCCATCGTGGACACCACATCGCTCCTTGCCCAGGCTTTCCCTGTGATGGGACATACCAACCAAGATGCTTGGTACTCCCAGCACTCCAACTCCTCGTCGCTGAGGGGCAACTCACGACGCACTAGGCGCCCTGAGGACGGCTCTAAGCGCCACTTCCGGATCCTCTCTAAGGCATCCTGGCTGATTTTGAGGCCCTCTGGCACCTGGCCTTTGGCCAGAATGGGCCCGGTGCCGGCGACCTCCTGTCGTTCCCGTGCACGCGCAAGTTTCTTCTGAGCTTCAACCTCGCTCAGCAGGGACTTTCTGAGGCCAAAGGGCAGTTCGAAGGGTGAAGCAGAGAGATCCTGATCCGTTATCTGGCACAGCACGCGGCCTGTGACGGACTCTGTCCGGAACCGAGCACAGACTTCACTGTCGAGGCCCACGGTCTCCAGGAAATCGCAAACTTGATCCACTGTCCAGAAGCTGATGGCCGGTCGGCTTCGAAGTCGGAATGCAACCGCCATGGCTCCCTGTGTGATCTCTGTGCTCTGTGCCCTGTGCTCTTTGAATCCTTTCGCGCGCGCTTCAGAAGCCAAACAGCTGCATTCCCGCACGCTACGCCGCTACGTAGCGCCCACAAGCCCAGAAGCATGGATCCCAAGGCGGCAGGCAACGGCGACCTGCCTAAATCTTTGATCTGCCGCTGCTCGCCAGCGGGCACCGCTACAACACAAACGGCCTCGGAACGAGCTGCTTTCTGTATATCATATGATCGGCTTCCGGAATTCTGAAGTTCAGCACGTTACATGGTTTGGCCTGGTCTACGTGTCCGAAGTGATCACATGCAGGCGTTACGCTCCAGCATGGGCACAGGAGCTGGCAACTATTGCTCCGGTCACAGCTTCTCCTTTCACAACCTTCATGTTCACAGGCAAGCCCAAGATGCAGCAGACTACTAATATCCGACAGAAGACACAGTGATCGATGCCCACATGCTCTCATATAGTCTTCAAGTATTGAGCACGGTAGCTTTTTTGATGTGATACAGGCTGCGAAAGCCAAGGCCAAGACCACGATGCAAAACAAGTTGAAGGCTGCGGAGCCTCGCTTGATCTCGCTTGCAGCTGGCATCCGAAACGAGCTCAGTTATAAGGAAGCTCAGTGCTTAGGGGGGGTAACGTGAGGGGACTATATTTCCTAAGATAAGCCTTGTTCGACCCTTATCAGGTCCTTGCAAGGGGTATTCATTAAGGCCCCCTGCCACCCTCCCCCTTACTGCCCTGAGTGTCCTTGTGACTCAGGGTTTCAATTTTAGGTAACTTGACAGGGTGAGCGCTCGCTCCAGGCATATGTAAGTAGGGTGGTGCTAGGGATTGAGTCATGCACCGATTCAGAATCTGTGGATGAAGTTCCGCCAAATCAAAACCTGCATCTCAGGTCCTAGCCAACAATAGTGGAAGGCCCTAGCTCACCAGCGAAGAAGCCATTCCTGGCAGCGCCAGTGGCGAGATGCCGGCGAATTGCATCTTGCTTCTTAACGGCAGAGCACTTGTGATTGATGCTTGAAGCGTGTTGCGGATTGGCTTGGCTAGAGGCGGGTAGAGAGTCTCAGCTGATGCCTTCGGAATTTTGCGCGCGTGACTAGCAAGATTCTTTGAGCACAAAGTCCCAGTTGGCGGCAAAGTCATCTCAAACGTGGCAGCATGGCCCCATGATCTCAACCACAGACAACAGGATTTCTGGCCTCGCGTGCGCACGAACATGAAAAGTCAACGTTGATTCTGAGTGATTGACCTCCATGCCAGGAATTGCGATCGCGAAAACTTTTTCGAACGGGCAGTGCCCTGAAGAATGGGCAGGCAGTGCACTCCACGAAGGCCCTGCAGGGTCCCGGCGCGGAGGAGCCCAACGCCAGCAAGGTCAGGTTTGCCACTGTCCCATTCCAAACCTCACAGGCAGGTTCGTGTCTAGACAACCCTAGCAAGTCTTTGCGCCTCTCTGAGCGTCGCAAGTCTTGCAGCCAAAGGGCGCTAACTGTGATGACACGCCCTGTCGACCTTCCGCACTTTGCAGTAGCTCACGTTAAAGGCTGCTGGAGGCTGGTTGCAGGGCCTCTGCAGAACTCTGCGCTTGACGCTCGTAATGCCTTCAATGGCACTGACGAACTTGTCCGCTGCCTGGCAACATGGTGCGCTGCGACCTTGCTCGTGATCTCAATGGACTCTCGACTCGTCTCCCTGATGAAACTCGGTCTATATCCGGTAAATTCAAATGTTACAATTATCTCAATCTGTGCCGGCCGAACGATGTTCACGCCAAGGAAAATGTAGAGCATCGCAACCATGTAGACGGTCGCTCGCACCCATCCTCATAAGTATGACTTACGCGCCCGTGCCCCCTCAAGCCAAACCTTAGAGTTCTGAAAGGTCGTCTTCCTCTTTGCCGGGTCCCTTGCCGTCCCAGTCGGCCTCGCCATCTGTGAGTGGAAAGACGAAGCCACGGCCTTGGGTCACAAACTATTATTGGCTAGGGCATCTGTTGTGCGAGAAGTAGCTCAGGGGGTGAAAGGATGCTGGAACCGTAGGTATGTATGTAGGTAGGTAGGTAGGTAGGTGTGTAGATATGTATGTGTATATATGAATGCGGGTGTGTGAGGGTATGTGTGTATGTGCTTATGTGGGTATGTGTGTATGTTCACATATATATATATATATATATATATATATGCATATATGTATGTATGTGTGTATATGTAGTATATGTGATTTTTGGTGATCTCGCCATATTTCGCCATGTAGACTTACGCTAGCTCGTTTGTTGTTGTTGACTCGCCTCCTTAATGTATCTATATCCAACCAATCTACCACAATCATAGTCTTGTTGTTGTTGCTGCTGCTGCTTGCTGCTGCTGCTGCTGCTGTTGCTGTTGCCGGTGGCGGTGGCGGTGGCGGTGGTGGCAGTGGCAGTGGCAGTGGCAGCAGTGGTGGCAGTGGTGGCAGTGGTAGCAGTGGTAGCAGTGGTAGTAGTGGTAGTAGTGGTAATAGTGGTAATAGTGGTGGTGGTAGTAGTAGTAGTCGTCGTCGTCGTGGTAGTCGTGGTAGTCGTGGTAGTCGTGCTACTAGGGCTAGTAGTGGTACTAGTGGTAGTAGTGGTAGTAGTGGTAGTAGTGGTGGTAGTGGTGTGGTGGTAGTAGTGGTAGTAGTGGTAGTAGTGGTAGTAGTGGTTGTGGCTGTTGTAGTTGGTAGTTGGTAGTTGTTGCGTTGTACAGAAGGAGGAGGAGACTGAGCAGCCGATACTTGGTCATGTGAGCTTGGGGTGCGGCCACCAGGTTCACAAATTGCTGGCGCCATGCAAGCCCTTCTACGGTGAAACTGTGGCTGAAAGTTCAGCAGTCTTGCCTGGCTGTGTGTGTTGTCTCGAGTTGTTGAAGTCTTGATGCCGTCAGCCTGCACCCATTCGGCCTGTGCGGCACAGGCCCGGCGTGAAGTCTATGACTACATGATACTGCATGACTGTGGGCGAATTGGAAAGCATTAAGTTGCTCCGACGAGCTGACAAAGGCCGGTGTCAGTGCAGAAGTACATGTACACGCCTTTCCAGGATGCTGCTCGTCCCCAGCACGGCGTTCTTCCCAACGTTCCCACGACTGCCAGCAACCACTGCTAGTTAGTCCTGAAACCCTGAAAACCTGTGTCACCCCCAAGAAGGTCAACGACAAACGCTGACCCCAGGGCGTTGCTCCTCTACGCTTCGCCGAAGATCGCTGACCTTGGCACGTAAGCTATGGCATGAGAAGGTGCGCGATCTTAAGAATTTCGCTGTATTTGGCACCTGCTGCGTCAGCGTTCGGATCTCCTGCCTCCATCCATCCCGCCTCGGCACAGCTCGGGAAGAAAGCACAACCAGGCATGCTGCCAATCGCTGGAAGTTTGAGACCCTGGATCTGAGTTCACGACTCGGCTTCCAGGTCATGCAGCGTTTGATCATGAAACCTTGCACAGTCGTCCCCTTGATGCAAGAAGCATGTTGTGGCCGCAAAGTGACAACTGTGCCCTTACCTGAGGGCTAAGGCATCGACTCTGCATGCGTCTGAAAGCTTTGCTCCCTCTCTTTGGCGACCTGACACTTGCAGGCGTCGCGCATTACTGCAAGACTCGTGATGCGATCGACCGCTGCTGCGGTGACCCAAACCACCGAGCACCGAACACGGAGAATTGCGGCCATCTGGGCCAATGCTGCATGAAGCGCCGGATGGCTCTGCCGAGGCTGTCCCTCCTACAACACACAGAGTTACCTCCCCACGCATTCCTCAAGAGAGGGCCCTTAGAACCGTGCTGCACTGCGAAGCTCTAGACACCCCTAAGACAACCCATGCAAATCACAGAAGAAACGAACCTCTCGAAACTGTTCTTTTAGTTCCCGAAGCCTTAAATCCCACACCCAAAACCCGAAGCCTGAATAGAACCCTTCGGGATCCCCTTAGAGATTCCTGATAGATCCCTTAATAGATCGTCCTCCTCGGTGCTTCCTGGGGCCCGGAAGCGGTGGCGAAAGGAGGCCGGCGGGGCTTCTCGGGGCCTTCCCAAGCTCCGGGATCTCCTCGGGCCAGAACACCCTAAGGGGCCTTAGCCTTAGTAATTAGAATAGGGTTCAGGGTTCCTTTAAAGAGTTCCTGTAAGGGATACGATAAGGGTACTATAAGGATTTAGGGATGTAGGGGCCTTGGTAATTAGAATGGGTCTGATTATAATAGGGAAACCCCCAAAAAAGTATAGGTAATTATTAAGGCCCCAATAGTAGACCCACAACTGTTAGGGCTTCAGGGCTTGAGGGTTTGGGGGTCTAGGCTTTGAGATGTTGGTGTTCCAGGGTGTTCAGGGCTTTAAGCAGGTGTAAGATCTTTTTTTTGATGCCCAAACTCGGCAATACCAGGCGAGGTCTGTAGAGAGACTGGAGGTTCAACGCACAACTCGGTTGTGTGGTTGAGCTTGTGGAGCTTGGCTTCGCAAAAATCTCGCTGTTTCTTCAAGGCCGAACGTAAGCATAAACACCAACCGTCACTAGGCCCCACACAGCATAGATACCCCCAGACCCTAGTTGCGGTAGCAGGTAAGGCCATCGTGAAACAGCATGGAGATAGGGTTAGGATTGTGGGGTGAACTGCCACTTGTACAAGAGCACCAACCAGGACAGCAAGCACTAAGAGTCCGTGGACCGGTGCCCATGCACTCTCTGAGCCCCTGGCACAGGCACTAAACTTTCTTCTGCCACTGTCAACGGCCTGACTGGAAGAGTAGGCATCTGAGTAAACTGGGTCCAGGCCCGCGGGGGCGAGCACCGTGGCTGCTTCAAAAGCTAGAACAACCTTTTGCCTCTGCTCTCCGAGACTGCAAAATGAAGCGACGACTCACGAAGAAAAACCATTCCCGGACCTTGTGGCAGCCTCTGAAACTCCAATAGCCTGTATTCTGAACCAAGAGCTCTGCGACTTATCTCCGAGCCATACTTGCGCCAGGCAGCACCGCGTCCTCTTCTGGCAAGACTGCCGGCGATGTCTCCGGGACGACGGGAGTCAACGCCTGAAGATGCAACACGAGCTTCGATCCAAGAGCCCCGCAGGGAGATAGCTTAACAAGCGAACACTCCTTGCAGCAGAGCAACGGTAGTGGCTGCGGCAGATACCTCTTCTTGTTGCTTCCTCGCTGCCGGCTTCAGGGCTCCAGGGCACCGCCGATATCGTAGTTGGATTGTGTCTTATCGTTGCTCATGTCATGTGGGTGCTCACATCAAAGTTACATACCGCCTGCAGCGTACTGCTAGAGAGGTTACAACATGCAACAATGGACCCAAGGCTAATTAGCATCTGCAAATTGCACTCACTCTAGCTCTAGCAGGGACTAACTGCAAGCACGGCTCCGCAAGCGTTCAAGCTCCAGCTCCTGCTGCTTCCTCAGAGCCTGCGCATGGCTTACCACAACAATCTGCCGCAGAAATTGCACAGGACATGATAGGCCTAACTCTTGCCGACGTTCAGGGGCCGGGCGGACAACAACGATTCTGATGCACACAAGGGCCTCCATCTGTTCTTGCATCTGCTCTTGGTGTTGCTTCTGCAGCTGCAACTGCTGCTCTTGAAGCTGCCTTCGATGCACGCGTACGCGTTCAGCTTACACAGACCACTCCGCGAACAAGTTACACGAAGACCCCAAACAGTTTGCTGCATTCGGCACTGTTCAAAACGCCAGCACATACCCTCCACCAGACCGTTGATCGGCTCTTCTGGCCGTAAGCTCTTTACTTCCGGGGACGAGCACTGCACAACACGGGCGCCGAGTTTTGCCATTGCAGCTGAAACTCTGCATCAGCTGCTGCTGCTTGTTCTGCTGGTCTTGGTGTTGGCCACGAAGCGACTCGAGCTCCTGCCCAACTAGGACTTAGGGTTCAGGGTCTAGGGTTTACTAGGGTTTAGGGTTTCTGCCCAGCTGCTATTTGAGCAGCCGCCCTGCAAGTCACATGCGAAAACGGCGTGTGCCGAACACAACTCGACATACATACAGGCATACAGGGAAGTGCTGCATACAAAAACACATACACACACAAAACATTGATATTATGTGTATATGTATATATATATATATATATATATATGATGCAGGGCTGCCACACCCCCCCTCCCCCCCCCACCCCATTGTATCCTCCCCCCTTCCCCCCCGCCCCCCCTGTGGTGTGGGGCCTGTGGTGGTACTCTTTTTGCCACGACGTTCTTATGTGTTACTCCTTGTCTTCCCTCTTGTTGTGGCACCGGTGATACTGCTCATGATGTTGTGCTGCTCTAGACCGGGACATGAGTCGACGATCATACCATGCTCAACATCATCCTTGTCGTCGTCATGTTCATCATTGATACCTTCAAAAGAAGATCTGCCACCATCACCATCGCAATACAACCCTCATAATTCAGCATTGCAATTCACGTCAGATGCCGCTTTCCGCACACGGCAGGGCATAGTGCGACACTCCCGATCCGCGCACAAGGTCAAGGGGCAGGCAAGGTGCGGGCCGGGGGCGGCGGGGCGGGCAGGGCGGGTGGGCGTGCAGCAGCAGGGCGGCAGGGGGTTGGGGGGGGGGGGATACCATGGGGGGGGGGGGGGGTGGCGGCCCGGGACCCGAGAGCATATATATACATGCCTACATACATACATACATTCTTCGCAGGTCTTGTTAGGTTACCATAGTTATTGGGATCCCTTAAGGGTTCTATAAGGGTTTAGGCTTAGGAGTAAACGATTTGAATTCGTTCCCTTCCCGGCACCTTCAGGCGCTCGGTCTGCTGCTGCTCTCGCCTCACAGCTGAAGGATTTTGAGGGCTCAGGTATAGGTTTTTTTGTTGATGGCCTTTTGGTGGTATAGGGTTTAGGGTTTGTAAGCCCCAAGGATTGTGGTTTTGGGGTCTAGGCAGGTTTGGAGGTTGAGGCTTTGGAGGACACCTTCGAGACTGCGACGCCACCCTTGCAAGTTGCGGATTGTTTCTCACCTGATCGTTGGGAAAACTGCGTGTGTTAAGGCTTTTTTGGGTTGAGAATTGGAGAAATGTCGCTAGTGGGCTTTCTCAGGGTACGCTTGTCGGCGTTGTTGTTTTGGGCGTTGGGCGCTCATTGCAGCAATGAGCAACATGGGCCACCCCGTCCCCGATGTGTGTGTATGTGTGTGTATTTATGTGTGTGCGTGTGGCTATGATCGCTTGCTCTTTTTTCTCGTAGGCTAAGAATCGACATGCAGATTCGGGTGCTTCAGCTTCAATCATCGGCACGATGAGCTTTGCTAACAGCGACCACCCACTCAAAACCCTCATCCTAGCCTTAACCCTCAAATCTACTTTGAACCCTCGGGCTTCCAAAGCCCCCGTGATGGCCCACTTGCGCATTGCGGGTTTCACGGGATGGAGGTACTCCTAAGAGAACGGCGCAAGAAGTCACAAAGAGCCCGGATCTAGCGCATGTTCGAGCCACCTTAACCTGCCATCACCTACAACTTTGTGGGATCTTATGGTATTTTTCTTTCTCCAGGGCTAAGGACTCGGGATTGTTCGTAGTCCTAGTCTCTCTCTCTTTGCTTTGCTTTGCTCCGGGGTGTGAGCCACAGGCTCTCTCTCTCTCTCTCTCTCCCTCTCTCTCTACCACCAGCCCGCCAAGTGGCTGCAAAGTTTCCATCCTGAGCTTCTCCTCCATAAGCTGCTTCATCTCCTCGATTCTGCAAAAGATGAAGCTTCAGGGATGCTCAGGGCTTAAGATTTAGGGTTTGTTAGGGTCTTTGGGAGGAGGACCTGAGACTCAAACGTTAAACTCAGGCACTGCAAGTCTATGGGAGGATCGTGATGTTTCCGAGCCTTTGCCACTACGGTACTGCTCTTACTGATCATTATGTTATCCTCTTTGAAGCCGCTCTCGCTAGTGTTACTGATGCTGCTGCTGTCTCTGCTGGTCGTTACTTGCACTGCTTCGTACGATTAACGGAATTCGCATTTCTACGGCTTTACTGCGCTTAGTCAACGTGGCATGCTTTCTGCCGTGAAGCGTATCTACACCTAGGAGCAACAGCAACGGCAGCAGAGCAGCAGCATTGTTGTAATTTATGGGCAGCCGCTCGTACATGTATACTATGCATTTCAGCCAACACTCCTCGCTCACATGTCTTACGTTCGTTCGCCCAGCAGACAAGCAATCAAGTTTCTGCCCAGGCACCGACTTGGTGCCTTCCAGGTGCTGGGCTCCAGCCATCTTCTCCTGCAGCCTCAGAAATCAGGCGAGGAGCTGCGCTCGCGTCGCATGCCTTGTGCACGTTCGCACGCAGTCGATGCTTGTTGGCTCATGGCCTCAAGACAAAAAACACATGATGTCAAATTCTCCTGAAAACTACAAATCTTGCTGTGTAGGCAGAGGGCTTGTGCTCTAAGAGACGTTCGAGGATCTCGCCACCGAAAACGTTCTCTGCACCCACCGTTCCCTCGCCACCTCCAGCAGACTTCACGATGATGCGGCAGACCTTGCTCGGGGCTGAAGCTGCATCTTCTCAGATCCTCAAGGATTGACCCTGTGGCCCGGCACGCCTCCTCGTCCGGAGTGGAGTCCGCCAGCACTGGCACCAACTCGGCGTACTTCTCACGGAATGCTTTCCTCGGAAACTGCTTTCGGGCCGCACAAGTCCACCAACAAGCATAACGACGCGAGCTGACTCATGTCACAGTGTGCTTCCAAGGTTCAATGACCACAGGAAGCAGCTGTTCTTGTCTGTCAGATGAACCATGTCAGCCAAGCGGAGCTGCTCAGTTTGCCGGAGCATCACGTTCCTGTTCCTCAACAGACGCCACTTCTGCAGCTGTGCGCCAGCTTCCTTTCTGCTAGAGACTCTAAGACACCCTGCATCTGATGAGTCTATCATCATGCTCTTTCGAGGAGCACGCGGTCGGGGTGGCCAGCATCGTTTGGGCGAAGGCAGCAAACCAGCCAGGTCGTTGATTCCTGGTGCGGCTCGAGGTGGGCCAACAGAGCCTCTGAAGCCTTTCGGAGTTCAGCAGTGCAGAGGTGCAGCACGGAGAGGAGAGGAGAGAGAGAGAAGAGAGAGAGAGAGAGAGAGAGAGAGAGAGAGAGAGAGAGAGACAGAGCGAGAGCGAGAGCGAGAGCGAGAGCGAGAGCGAGAGCGAGAGCGAGAGCGAGAGCGAGAGCGAGAGAGAGAGAGAGAGAGAGAGAGCGAGAGAGAGCGCGAGAGCGAGAGCGAGAGCGAGAGCGAGAGCGAGAGCGAGAGCGAGAGCGAGAGCGAGAGCGAGAGAGAGAGAGAGAGAGAGAGCGAGAGAGAGCGCGAGAGCGAGAGCGAGAGCGAGAGCGAGAGCGAGAGAGAGAGAGAGAGAGAGACAGAGAGAGAGAGAGAGAGAGAGGCCGGCACACTAACACCGTCACAAGCAGCATCGCCCGGCCCGCCTCTGCAGATTCGTCCAAGTGCGGGGCTTCCCGAGGTCTCTCGCCAAGATCTCGAAGGTACTTACCTGGTCCGTGTGATTTGGCCTCGCTCTTTACCTCTCTGCCCTGCATCGCCGAGCCAAGCGAGCCAAGCGTCAGCTGGATGTTGAGAGGAGGTGGAGGAATTCCATGAGATCCACCGTGTCCAGAGCTGCGCCAGACTCGAGGCCTGGAAGAAGCCCATACGAGAGAGCCCCAGGCCCAAGCCACGCAGCAGCGGAACTTGCCAGCCGAGGTTCTGCTGAGCGCATGTTCGACAGGCCCACAAGCACCGCCTCACTGTGAGGCGGGCCCAAGAAGCCCTTTGGGGAGTTGCCAATAGGCGCAGCCAAGTTGCAGCCAAGTTGCTTATAGAGGCCAAATCCCCTTCCAAGGCAAAGCTCTCGGAAAGCTCTTGCGCCTGAACCACCACGTGACACCGTGAGGCTCACCATGAGCCTGCACACAGAATACAGCACCAGGCCTGTGCCCAGTTCCGCAGCGTCCCGCTTTGCAGCGCTCCCAGGCAGCCCCGGCACAAGGCCTCCGCTCTGGCAGCCGCTGCCTCCGAGACGCAGCCGCTTTTGGCTTCACGCGGATAAGTCGGAGAAGTGGAGCGCTGTGCCTGCAGCTCGGACTCATCCCGGAGTTCGTCGCCTGACATGGGCTCGCGGCTCCACCAGCTCCACCATTGACATGTCTTGGGAAAGGTTTCCAGTCCCCAGCATCTGAGAGTCTGACTGACCTCCGACCCGCGAGCGGTGCGAAGCATCCGTGCGAATCGAGCCTCAGGCGGAGCCGACGCTTCCAAGAGACATGCACAAAATGCGAACAAAACCGAGATGAGCACCTCGTTCAAGAGCTGGGTCAGAAGGCGATGGGTTCCGGGCGCATCAGAGCCGGAGGGAAGCTCCAGGACTTTGATGCGCCGAGTGATCGCCTCTACAAACCATCAAACCCTCCCAGCCCGCATCCTCAAGTCCAGATTTCCCCCCTCTGTCCCCGCCTTAGCTTCGGCTGGAAAGTGCTCGTTGCAGTGCTGAAGGATCAAATCCACAAGCCGACAGTAGACTTCCGCCACAGCCTCGTCATGGGACGCTGCACCCGTTGCAGCCCTACGCAGCCCTTTCAGCTCCGTCTCGCCAGCTTCTGGTTTCAGCGAAGGAGCTGCATCTGCACACAAGGCCGCATCCTGGGGCGAGGCCGAGCCTCGACTGGGTCCACAGAGGCTGCGCTCAGAGGCCAAAAGCACGAAGACTGCGAAGACAAGGTGAAGAGGAAGAAGAGGAATGGAATATATCGTTCTGAGACGTGGTGAATATATCAGTACGTTGTCCTTCTTGCTGAATCTTTGTCAGTACTACACCCGGTACACATCCCGACGTGATCTCTCCTACCATCCACCCTCCGAGACCGAGAGTAGAGCCCACGACAAGCGGCCTTCTACCAGGGAGGTCCAAAGCGACCCGGCGTGTACCCCCAAGGCTTTGGCGGCAGCTTCCAGACCTCCTATGGCCGAGTGCCGGGGTGTGACTTAGGCGTTAAGGTTTAGGGTACAGGGTTTAGGCTGTGGGCTTAGGATTCAGGTTTAAGGGTGAAGGGTTTGGGTCTTTTTTGAACACCTTTGCAATCAAGCTCGTCAGAATGCACATTCGTGGGAGGAAACAGCCAAGATCCCTGTGATTCCACGAATCCGCCACGACATAGCTTCACATTGATCGATGGCCTCAGTCCTTGCCTCGCATTGATGAAAGTTTCACAGTAATCCCCAGCAACGAGCCTTCAGGTTCGCAACGCAGGGGTCCCGAGGACCCGTCGAAGCGCAGGTCCGCAAGGAGGATCAAGCCTCGGCTGGCTTCGTGTGCTTCGTGTTGGCAAAGCAGGAGGCTGAGCTTTTTGAAGCAAGTTGAAGTGAAGCGCTCGTAAAGAACATCGCAACAACAAACTTCAGCGGCCGGCGACCATCCCGGAGCCGGGCTTCAGGGGCTAAGTACTTCGGCCAAGCAGCCACACAGGATTCGCACTACCACGGCGTCATCGATCCTCGGTGAGCATGAGCAAGGCAACAGCTGCTTCTACGTTCCTGTGCGTCTTCGAAGGGGGTCATACGATGCTGACGACAACTGCGGCCCCAAAGATGACGCTGAGGATGATGACGAGGATGAAAAATGATGGTGACATTGATGATAGTAATTCATGTTGATGTGACAACTGATGACGATGATGATGATGATGATCGTGAGAGAGATCACGATGCGATAGAAGAGGCAGCAGCATAAGCCACTGGCGTCATAGATGCGACGAGTTTCCCGTCCCCCGCCGAGCAATTTCTGCGGAACAAACGTGAGACCTCGTGTATGTCCCGCCTTGAGAGGCCCATTTGCAGACATACACCAAACAAGCGAGGATAGCGATGACGAAAGTGATTAAATGAACCAAGCAAGCTAGGTTGCGGTTTGTTCCACCTACAAGCTGAAGAAGTGATCGATGGCGTTCATCGATGATGATGATGGTGATGCTGATGGTGATGATGATGGTGGTGATGACGGTGGTGATGATGATGGCGACGATGATGAGGAGGATGGCAATGACGACTGATTAAAACGACGATGCTTAGCAGTAGCCGTCGTCGTCGCAACAGCAGCAGCAGCAGCAGTGGATGAGTAGCAGTAGCAGCGGCAGCATCCGACTGAGGACGTGGTACCATTCCGACCAAGGCTCTCGAAAGAAGCCAGAGCTTCGATCCAGCTTTTCTGTGCAAAGCCTTCCTCGTCGTACTCTTCAATCTCGATCTGCAACAGGGCGTCCGAAATGCTCAGTGACCAAATCTCGAAAGGCCGGAGACTCGAAGGATTACATCAGCAATCTCTGTCTGGTAGCGATCTTGGCTCTCCCACCAGAAGTATTTCCATGTGGGCATGCTGTCCCGAATTCTTCTAACCCCCACCCACCCACCCACCCACCCCAAATGCAGAAAACATGATCTCTGCACGCCTCATGCCGGTGCCCACCTTACGTCATTATAACCAGTTGAGTCTAAGCTGCACACTTGTACGAATCACGACAAGATTGATCTAGTGCGGCGCTGCGGACCCGGTCATACAAGTCTCTCACACCCTTTAGCAATCCATCAGTCGGTTCAGAAAGAAGCTGCTGCACGAATCACAAAGGCATGAATAGACTGAACAGACAAATACCACTACTCCTCGAGCTAGCTCTACAAGAGGTAGTAACCGGCATTTATGATAGCAGCACTGTTGCGTTGGCCATTTCCGAACTTCTCATGTTGCAGAAGATGCAACGACTCTAACCGCCTCTTCGAAACAAGGAGGAGATGCCTCAAGAAACCGAAAAGCACTTAGATTTCAGTGCACTGACACAACGGATATCAGATCCCAACATGTGGCTGCCTCTTCCCCGAGTAGTCGGAACTCCACCCTGGTGCCCAACCACTCCTTGGCCCTTTCGTCCTGGCATCTTTCGGATTCATAGACCACATGAAGAAACGGATCTCACTTTGCTGAAAACGCTGGACAGGGATGCCCAAAACAGAGCCTTGGCTGCAAGATACAGAGCATCGAAGGTCTTGAAGCCGGCGTCCATGCTGCGTGCAAGACGACCTATCTCCAACATCTTCACCTCACCGGGCTTCGCATGGAAAACTACTGAACACACGCATGCATGAAGGAGGAAATGTCACGTTGTGACACAGGTGTTTCGTGGGCTTCCTCGCCGTGTCACGCTGGCAAGCGTGCGGCATGTGAAGCCATCTGCAGCCAACCCAAGCTCGACCTGCGCGGGTCATTCTGCGACAGAGAGCAGGATAATCGTCACAGATTACAAGTACTCATGGACAATACTAAATAGCACTAAGAGTCTTCAATGCAAAATACAACGACAGTCCAGTGAGTCTAGTGAGTGTAGTGACAGGAAGAAGCCGAAAAAGCGGACTCTCTGGAGCCTAGAGGGTGGATCTGTATTGCAAGTCGGTGTGGGCAGACGGCCTCCAAGCTAGCTCGAGTGGATTGCCAAATCTGCCGACCACAACGACACTGGGCCGAGATGAAGGGAGCCAGAATAGCCAGCATCTGCTTGAATTCGCCACCACCTCAAGTCCAAGTCAGGTATGCTCGCTGTGAGCCCCGCTATATTGTTTGCTAGCTGCTAGTGTCGCAGTCCCGAAGCTGGGTTTTCTCCAACTGGTATTAACGACTCTCCCGTGCTTGGCAAGCATCCATCGCCAGCGTTCTGGTCGAAGAAGCCTTGGAGATGCTCAAGACCCCATGAAGGCAATTGACTCGTGGCTGAAAGGGTAGGTTTTCAGAAAAATTGTAGTTTTGAACATTTGAACCCGCATTGACCGGTCGTCACTTGCTTCCGTGATGCTGAGCACGTGCTCGCGTGCCATCGACTTTCCAGTGCATCCGTCTCCCAGCAGCAAGAGGACCTGATGTTCCTGCAAAACGAGCGAACAGCAAAGCTGACGAGCAAGGCAACGCAGCCTTGCACATCTCTGAGAGCTCCTTCTTGTCCATACTTCGCTTGTACGCACTTGCAGAGGCGTTGAAGATGTGTGGCGGCAGGTTAGGGTCCTTGAAGGCGTGGTCTCTTTTTCAAAAGCAGCCCTCGACATTTACTTGGCCAGCCAGCCAACGGCTGGGGCACCAACCAAAGCTGAGTACTTCTCGACGTACGTCTCGCCGAAAATCTTCAAGGGTCTGAAAGGATTGATGCACAAGGTCACCATGTTGATGTTCGAATACCTGCACGCATGATCTCGTCTGCACGTTCGACAGGACAGGGACCAAACACATAGCCACCGAATCCAGTCTTGCCAGTTGCGGTCCATGAGACGGGTTCGTACTGCAAAACTGATTCCGCAGGGCATCCTGGGCTGTCGGAGTTAGTATTGCTACAATTATTAGTACGCTCATCGTTGACGCCATTATTATTGTTATTGTTGTTGCTCCTTTTATTGCTCTATGATCAATAGTTTTCTTATAATTCCTATTCTTGTTATTGACATTATTTTCTTTAACATTCTTGTTGCTATTACCCTTACTCTTGTCGTGATTGTTATTGTTGTAGGTTTTATAGGCATTAGTATTGTTGTTACTCTTCGTAACAACTAGTATTGCAACATGTAGTGTTATTATTACTACTATTGCAGTTTTCGCTACTACTAACATTACTGTTATTACTTGTGAAGCTATTTATCATTAACATTCACTGTATTCTTTCCACTGTGATTACCATTGTTATTACTACTGTTATCGTTTTTTCAAGCGTGATCAGCATTGCGGTGATTATTGTTATTAGCATTGTTCTTATTATTGCTATTTTTCCTTATGCTTACTCTTGTTGCCATTACCACCCGGTGCCATTACTAACAGTACTTTCAGTCCTACTGTTTCTACTACTGGTACTAGTACTTTTACTGTTATTGCTACCATTATTACATGTAGTACGATGATTACTATAACTCCTAGTATTACTGTTATTGCTATTAAAACGATGATTACTACTATTGCTGCTATTGCTACTATTATTGCTATTACTACTATTGATACCATTATGGCCTAAACATGTCTGCGGAAATATTCGTCCAAAAACCTTGCAAGCCCTCCTCATATCTCCGCTGTTGCTGGCAACAAGGCAAATGAAGGCTGAACAACGGCTCATGCCACTCCCACACCACTGCATGTGCAGAACGACAAAGGCCAACCATAGGTAAATATATGTGTACATATACATATGTACATGCATGCATGCCTGCATACGTACATCCATACATATACATTGTATCTATGTTCTCTTTGTGAATATCTATATATATATATATATATGTGTGCGTATACATACATCTAATAAGACCAGCATCTTCGACCTGACCAGCGCCGAGCCCATCCTTCTCCAGCGAAGCATAGTTTTGTGCCACTTGCCCCGGTCGCGGCAGCACCAATCGCTGCTCTTCCGGTGATACCACGAACTCCTGAAAAGATTGCACCGCATTGGCAGCTGCAGGGAACTCGACAGGAGCCGACTGAACACGATTCTGTTTCATTCAGGCATGGCGCCTTCTTGCCCAGCCGAAGGGTGGCGCCTCCATCAGGGGTCCTGCACGGTGCGAATCCGGAGCTTTGCCATTTGCAACTGGTGCGGTAGCCTATACAACGACAGTTGCATGCTGTCAGTCCTGCTAAGCTTCTGGCAAAGGACCCACTCAGATTCCTCCGCCGGGAACCACACAAATTCCTTTCGATTCTCCAT